GAGCACAATATATTGGTATGAGTCTTGCAACAGTCCTATGTCACTATGTGAATGTTCATTAAACCACTGATTTTCTACTTCACTGTTCGTAAGTTTGTTTATACACCGGGAGGCACAACAAATGTTTATGGGCGTAAATACAGAATACAGGGCCAATTTAGTAAAAACCAGGGTAAATGTTCCAATAATTTTGCTTCACATATAAGCTATTTTTAATATCAGAAGGCTGGGAGGGGTTTACTGAACCCTCAAAACCTTCACTGAAATGTCATTGGAGTGATAATCAATAAATTTCCAACAGCAATACCGTATTAGTTTTGTATTAGATAGTGACTCCGGTTTCAAGTATTTCCTTGAAATTGTTGGTACAAAAATTACCGTTTAGTTATGAATTATACTTGAAATGATTACAGTGGATTAGTGTAAGAACAAGAGGGTAATTCAGTTGCTAATAAGGGTGAGTACATCAGGAAAGAGTATGCGTTGAGAAAATCCCTCAAAGGACTGAAGTACAAGAAACAGAAAAAAAAACTGAATGTTTTGGAAAGTTTATAAAGAGAATCAGAAGAGGCTTGAAAAATATACAACTTAAGTTTATTGTTTGTGTAAGTTATGAATCTGATTTACAACTATATTATACCAGGTAAAATTGATTTTTTATCAACCATCAAAAGAAGTCATTGTTGGGCTTGAACCCTGTCCTCAGCAGTTCTTTCTACGATATTACCCTTGGCTTATTTGGCCTAGATGGGTATGTGCTGCTGATTTAGGGTGGTGACCATTTCACCCTTAAGAGTTATGAACAAGGTGTCTGTTTGGGTTGTAAAGGTTGAAGAAGAAGCAGTCTATAGAGTACAGTCTATTGGTACCACCATTTCCCTTCCAAGTTTTGCCATGTTTCTAAGTTTAAAAGCTACCTTAATTCTGTATGTTAATTAAAAAGGAAATGAATCAGGATTACAAAATAAGGTCTCTTGGTAGGGAAATGCACAATGTGTCCTACTACCCATACTCTCTTTCAGTGTAAGCCCAGGGAGGTGATCTCACATTTTAATTCCCTTTTACCACTTGTTGTAACAGCAAAGTCAGTGAAGGTTTATGGTCTCTGAAAAATATTTTTACCAGCCTCAACACAAGTTTCTAACCGTTATTGTTGACTGCAAATAATATTATGTTAATAATCATTTTACATCTTTTTTCTCAGGCATCCTATGGTGTTTTCAATATCCACTAGTACAAGGCAATTTTTAAGTTGAGAGGGTTTACTTTGATTTCATTAACAGTAAAGTACATTTTTACACAGACACAAACTAACCTGGCAGGTTAAAGGTGTAAAACGTTACATGCAACTATATGGCAAAAACTGATCACAGTGGCCAAAGGAAAGGCAAAAATGGAAATGTCATCATTTTTTTAATTTTATAAATTCCCTTTGAAGCATATTTAGCCAGATGTAGTCCTTGTCAAAACATGCAAACTTGAACTTTTATTTTCTGACCTTAGCTAATATTGTTTTAAGCCATACTCTTGTTCCAGTGGGTAGTGTAGTTTTTGGAATAAAATATTTATAGTTTCCCCTCTTTGTTTGCAACAAAACAAAACACAATTGAATGAGGACTCAAACTGAAGGCAGTGTAGTAACTGCTGTCATGAAAAGAGAATTCCAAACACACAAAATAATTACCCTTTCACTTGCCCATATTCAGTTCTTAGAAACTACGGTAAAGTTTAAATTAAATCACACGAAGAAAAGAACTTAAGCATATCAAGAGTGAATGATCTCTTGGCAAAATTTATTTAGCTTCTAGTACATAACAAAATACATGAACTACGAGATTTGACCAAGCCACTCAATCATCCAACGCAACTCTGCCGGGATAAGTTCACAATCAAGGATACAGAATTAAGAATCTCAATCATCATTTCTTTTCGTCTTAAAGGTGTAATAAAAACGTAAACAACTCTGACAACTGTTCTACTTGACCACGGCCACCGCGCTTTTTTAATATCACGAAGGATTAATTTTCGCCTTTCACTTGAAAATATAAACTCTTCTACATACGCATTGGAGGGTTTGCCCTTCTTCTAGTCTTGTGGGTCTTCTAAACAGAAACACAGCTTGAAAGCCTGTTGTGGGCCAAAAAGTCGGGCATCGAGGAAAATGTACAATGACCGTTCACTGGTCTCGTTCTTAGCGTAGTAAACCGCATGTAATGACAAACGCAAGATCAGAAGAAAGGAAAACGTAAGCTCCACATTACTGCGGAAAAAATCGGTTACAGCAAAGAAAGCAATGACCAACAGGACCAAAAGCGAATTCACTTCACACTGTCGAATCGCTGCGAAGACGAACTTGTTGATGTTGTTCCTAGCCCCCTTCGCGCATGCTCGCTACAGTTCTCGAATGATTGACAGATTTCTTAACTGGGGCGATCATGGAAAGCCGAAAAGCGGCAAGATCAAGGGCCGTTGCCAGCCCCCCCTGATTTACAATAACTAATTACAACACTCAACTTAAGGCTAATTACAATGTTAGCTAATTACTAATTACAATACTTTTTTAAAAATTTGAACAGATTGGATTAATTTAAGAAAAGGTTCTTAAATTACGGAAGGCATGACCACAGACTAGGGTTTTGCAGACATGGGCCACCGAACGTGCACTATAGGCTGCGTGCAAACGGGCGCAACAACTCCGAACATTGTTGCGCCAACAATGTTGGGAGACGGATGCAAACGGATGCAACAACTCCCAACAAGTTTTGGACCTGCAGTGCATCGTGGGAAGAATACAACTCATAAGTCTTTGCAATAGATGCGTAATGAGCGTGCGTGGCCCCAACAATGTTGGAAGAGCTGTGCAAACGGATCCAACATTGTTGCGCTCCGCTTCGGCGATCACGGAACAAAAGAAATGTTCAGAGTTGTTGGCTGAAAATTTTGACCAGTTTCAAACTTTGCGCATCAACACGCAACAACATCCGAGAACATACAACAGGATGTGCAAACGGACGCAACATGTAACATCCAACAATGTTGGGAGTTGTTGGCCAACAATGTTGCGTCCGTTTGCACAGTACCATAGAAGTACAAGAACGCTGTCAAAAAAGCGTTGAAGTCTCTCTTGCCTGGAGATTAGATAAGAAACGAGGAGGCGATTAATTCTACACCAAACAGGATTTCACCGCTAAAAGTTTTCGACTTCCTACATATTTGACAGTCGAGTATTCTTCAGGATATTTACTTCTTGTATCGTATTCGACGATGACAGAGTACGCGTGTACAAGTACACGAAAATCAATTCCTCGAGGGAAAAGAAAAATCCTGAGGAAACCACTTTGATTTTCTCGGCGCGAAGTCCAACATTTCAGCAGTATTTAGTCTTTTATGCACCTGCAAACAGTCTGCCGCCACTACAAAAATATTACAAGCTCTGTAATAGCTCTACATATTTAATAGACTATTTTCCTTGAGGAAAAATGGGGACTACTCGTGCTCTACATATTTAATGTTGCCATTGATATGGGAAGCACACGCAGCAGTCGTCATTCCGCAAAGTAAATGAAACAAATTTTACGTTTACCATTAGTAAAAAGTACTAGTAGTTGGAGTTCTTCGAAATTCTTAAAAGTTTCCAGCGGTTTTGGTCCAATACATGTACAAACTACATAGTGACTGCAAAAATTGTCTACTGTGATTTGCTTTAAAAAAAAGGGAAGAATATCCTGAATATCCTGAATATTAAGAGTAACGAAGCCACAGAATATAATTAGATACAGAAAATACCACCTGGTTGTATTTGCATTAAAACCTGCTCAATCACTGTTACACTGGCGAATAGGATGCGTCATTCAAAATTTAACGAAAAACAAATTGAATTATGATATATTCAAATATTAAAAGACATGGAAGAAATTGTCGAAGCTATTTCTTTCCTTTCACAAAGAAAAAAAAAAGAACATTTTGTGCCAGGTCAACAACAGCAAGAATGAAAAAGGGCAAGTCATTTTGGGGGACACAAAAGTAGCTACATTCTGCAGTTACGTTAATTTTCTGCTGATGTAAATGAAAAAAGTTAATTGTCAGATAATTTTGCAGGAGAGTGGTTAGCCTGCGTAGCATGGCGGTTTTGGTTGCTACCTAATAAAGGCGGCAGGGCAGAAAAACCGCGAGGAGACAGGCTAGAGAGTGGTGAATACATGACAAGCCGTAACAGGCCTCCCTTGTAGAATCAACATTTGAAGGGTCTTCCGCTATTCGGATCAATGAGTATTTATGTCGTCGGGTTATTTGTCGTTGTTCTTGGTTATTTTCCGGAACATTGACTTCTTTTCAGGGCTATATTGTCCACATTTTTATTGACCACACTTATTTACTTTAGAAAGTCGTGCGTATTGAATGGCTGTAGACATCGCGTGACAAGAAGTACATGCGCGAAGCGCAATTTAACGATGCTCTCTCGCTTCACGTCCATCAGTCCTGTCATCTCCTCATCATGGGAATTTATACGGGAAACAAACAAGATTTGAAAAAAGAGACGTACAGAGCAGAATGGTTTGTAGAAGGTGTCACACAGGAATTTTACTGTTAGCGCCTTTATACGTTTGTCTTGTCTTCATTGGATTCTTTACGTTTATTTTTTCGCGAACACGACGTCCGGATATAAGCAAACAAATTAATAATCAAGATCTTGACCCGAACAAGCCAGTGACTGAACCTCTCCAAAATGCGACTTTCAATTCAACGATAACTCCTGGTGTGTTAAATTTGCACGTCTGGAAAGATCTGTGCGGCTTGGATGTCGATCGTCTTCGCGAAACGCCGCTCTTTCCTCTTCATCCGCATCAAAGATTGTTCCTTAGAAGGTTCCAAATCACCCAGAACGTGGACAATTATGGCCAGAGAATTTTTGGTTTTATTCGACCGAAAGTTTCGGGACTTTATACCTTTGCAATTGCCTCGGATGATACTTCTGAATTATGGCTTAGTTTCGACGAAAAACCATCCAATCTTCGTCTTATAGCGAGCGTGTTTTCTTCGACGTCCAGCGCCTGGACAGATGATGGGGTCTTTTCAAAATATCCAAGTCAGCAATCGAGAAACATTCGTTTGATCGCGCGCAAAAAATATTTCGTGGAGGCATTGCATAAACAAGATAAGGGCAATGGCCACCTAAAAGTGTTTTGGCGCCGACCAGGCTCGCTGAGACTTGAATCAATTACAAGCGAGTATTTACAATCATATTTTGATGATGGAAATTTGAACAGAAGTGGTTTCGTGACACCAGAAAATCTTGAGGCGCTTTCGTCGACACCAAGCCACGTGAAACAACGAGAATATAAAGGACTTGATTTGATTGCTCAGTTCAACTACTCATCTCTGCCGATAATTGACACTTTGAGCGGAATTTTACCTTCGTGTGCTTACAAACCGAGCTACATTATTAAAAGAAACTTAAGTCGATACGAAGGAGTGGATTTAGTTCATGATTCTGCTGTTTTCCCGGACGATAACACTAATCTTCGCGAAGCGTTTGTTTCTCGATCGAAGAGGAACAAAGAAGTGGCAAAAGAAACCGTAAACTACGTTGTAGAAAAATTTATGACAAGCTTACAAAATTTCTACAGGTAAGATTGAAAATGTTAACATTGTTCAATATTACACGTACTGTTTAACAAGGAATTAATCAAAAAACAATAACTTGTGTGCTGACCTTGACATTGTTTAATATTATTTATTAATTTTATTTTAAACTAACGATATATTTGATAAATTAAAGATGTACATTTTTTAACAGGCTGCATTGTTCTAAAATTAATCATTTTTTTCTGTTTTTCACTGCATCATTAGCCCCATGCAGTTGATAACATAAACAAACTAAACAGCGTGATTATACTACAAAAAATGATTTGGCTGTTGAAATGCTTCAGACGCGGCTGTGATTGCAGGCGGAGTTACAAAAGATTAAAACAATGATCAGTAAAAGAAACGAATACCTGAAGAAAACAACACTTGGAAAAAATAGCGACATCCAAAAAGCTTACGATCAGTTCATGACCCAAACCTTGATTTCTCAAACTCTCTAACAATTTAAACAAAACCTGACCTTCTTTTTACCTAGTCAAACTACAAAGGTTTATTCCTATGTTTTCAAACATCCTAATAATTCAAATGAAATCAGTATAGATTTCAAACAAACCAAATTGATCTGAAACATTGGTGACATGTGGAACACACGGACTACAACAATATTACATCAGTCTTCACACTAATATTAATTATTCATATTGTCACAGTATCAGCACTATGTGTGACTCGCAGCACTTAAGAAACAGAAACCACCAACGACATCAAATCCGAAAAACCCCTTGCATTTTTGCCAAAAATTCGAAAACAAGGTGCTAAAAAACAGAAAATATTACCTCAAAGTTTTCTGTGCAAAACGGAGCTAACATATGGCCTAAACTTAAGAATTTAAAATTCCAATGCCTCCCTTCCTCTTGTGATAAAAGGGCAATTTTTGGTGTAGTTTTTTGGTTTTATGTAGACCCCAATCCCCCGGGGGGAGGGACTTCCATATAAAAGTGACAGGGATGCTCATCGTCTCGCTTTGGGGTGTAGATTGCAGATTTTGGTCTCACTTAGGCCGTTTGCAATGGAATGTCACTATATTTGCCCATTCAGGTATCGCTGAGTACTGATCATAAAGAAATTTACAAAAAATGCCCTGACACTGACCACACAGAAATCTCCCTTAGGGGGTCAGTATAAGCTTGAGCCAAACCCACATTGGTCTCCCTTCGGGATTAAATTTGAATTTTCCGACGAGTATCCCTGTCACTTTTGTATGGGAGTCCCCTCAGGCCCAATGCCCCCCCCTTCCAGGAGGTTTTTTTGCTAAAGGGATAAATCTTGGTATTATGGAAATTATTGCTAGTTAGTAAGTGCATGTTAGATATCATCTTTAATATCTACATACTTTGTATCTGACTAGGCTGTTTGTTTTTACAGTGAATACTATTTACAGAAAATCTTAAATATTGAGCAGAACCCTGATTCCAAGAAGGGGGACCGTTTTCTCATTGAGCTTCAGTTAGGGGTAACTGGATCAAACCAAAGTTTTCGTGCTTCAGAGTATGTATACCTACCAAAAGGGCAGACTGAGCTTTGCTTTCCAGAAGGAATGAAATGGCAGAGAAATGCGACTGTGTACTTTATACTCCCTGTCAAGAATCAGGGTAAATGGGTCCATCACTTTGCATCTCAACTTGCCAACATGTCCCTGATGACTGGAGACTTCAACTTCCACGTCATCATTATTGATTTTGAAAGTGAAGACATCAACATTGAGAAAGTTTTTGGTGCGTGGCCACTACAAGACAGATATACTTTGATTAAGATGACAGGACCCTTCTACAAAACGTTGGCTTTACAGGAAGGTGTCAAAGCTGTTCCAAATGATTTGGATATAGTATTTCTTTTTGATCTCCACATTGATGTTCCAATAGGATTACTGGACTGTGTAAGAAAGGTGAGTTCTCAAGATTCTTATTAAGGTTAAAGGTTTGTTTAAAAGTGCACTTAACTTATCCAGCTACTTTAAGCCCCGTGCAAACGGACGCAACATTGTTGGCCAACAACTCCCAACATTGTTGGATGTTACATGTTGCGTCCGTTTGCACACCCGGCCCTGTTGCATGTTGTTGGATGTTGTTGCGTGTTATTGCGCAAAGTTTGAAACCGGTCAAACCTTTCAGCCAACAACTCCCGACATTTCTTTTGTTCCGTGATCGCCGAAGCATAGCGCAACAATGTTGCATCCATTTGCACAGCTCTTCCAACATTGTTGGGGCCACGCACACTCATTACACATGGTTTCCAAAGATTTATGGGTTGTATCCTTCTCACGATGCACTGCAGGTCCCAACATTGTTGGGAGTTGTTGCATCCATTTGCACACCACTGCCAACACGCATGCAACAACTCCCAACATTGTTGACGCAACAATGTTGGGAGTTAATGCGTCCATTTTGCACGCAGCCTTAGAATACAGGAACTCCACTCAAATAATAAGCAAGTAATCCAATTAGAACATAACTGGATTAAAAAACCCCAACTGGCAGGTGGCAACCAGTTGGCTATTTACTAGCATGGCAGAGGATTTGAACTTGAGATGACGGAGAACAAATCCACACTTTTAAGCCAGTACAGTGTAAGTGTTACATTTCACGTCTGCTAACATGATGGGGTAGACAGATGTGTCCGTATGAACTAAAAGCAATTTCTTGGATGTTTAGATAACCAAATTTTCTTGCCTTTGGTGCCCTGCTGCATGCACTGCACTTTCGGAGAGCTCCACTTGATAAGCAGAGATGCTAACCTCTGGAGGTCTAAAATCTGGGGACTCTCTCTTTTTTGCTTTAATCCAACCCCCCCCCCCTTTCCATGTGTTGTGTGTTGTAAACCATGCCTGGTTGTGTCTCAGGACATGATGCAGACAGTCTTACATAAGTTACAGACCATCAAAATTCGGTTTTACGATTATAATGATAAAATAATCAGTGCCAGTGATGAAAATCAATGCATATAAAAAAATGCCGCAGAAACTGTACTAGAAATCAAAACAATTTCATTGACAAATTATGGGGGGAAATGGGCTAATTTCCAAACTAAAGCAAAAAAAAAAACTCAAAAACCTAATTTTCACTTCTTTTTTTAAAAAAAAAACAATATTAGTATTCAGATCTCTATATCACTGAACCACCAAAAATCTAATAATAATAATAAAAACCTGCTATTCTACAGCATTTCTGTTTTCTGGAACAGAGTACTGATTTATTTTATATGTCTGGCATAGACTAGGAGGTGAAAAGCCTCATAACAAGACAATTAAAATTGTTGTCTTTTCAGTACACTGTTGAGGGCAAGGTGGGGTATGCTCCTGCAGTTGCCAGATTAGAGTGTGGTTTTTTCCCACATGATCCACGTGGTTTTTGGCAAGAAAATGGATATGGACTTTTAAGTGTTTTCAAAGTTGACTGGGACAGATTTGGTGGTAAGTATGAGAGTTGTCACTTGGGGAAGGATACTCCCAGTTATGGGCAGTACCAGTGGGGTATGTGCCACTCAACAAGGTATGCTTTCTTTTCATGTCTGAATCTAGAGCAGGATATCAAAATCACCCTTTATCTCTGGAAGAGGTGTGTTTTTTTTAGCACATTTTGACTCTAGTCAATGGGGTTGATTTTTCCCCTTTATTACATCCACTTTGAAATCACTGGTGATCCATGCAATCTGATTGGCTCTGTGTGATTTATTCACTAATCACACCATTTTCTGCGCTAAATCACATCTTTTTCTCAGCCAAAAAAAAAGGAACACTAAAACAGCACAACCAAACAGATTTCAAATCTTGTTGAAAGAAACAAATCAAATTTCTGGTGAAATGGATGTAAAAAAGAGGCCCTGCCAGGGGGGGGGTCCCATGTCACCCATCTGAATTTTAAAACGTCTCATGTCGGTGTTTATTAACGCTTGTCGCTTATTGTCGGCTTTGCCGTCACTGTCGCAATTTGGCCAAGGGAGGTTGTCTCTTGTCACGATTTCACTTTATGCGCTGTCACTACTTTTTGGGCCATGTCGCTTGTTGAAATTTACCCTGGCACGGCCTCAATAAAGTGGCAATTGAACTTTGCAATTTTGGTCTGGAATCATTTTTGCACTCTACTCAGTTCAATTACCATTACTAATCTCTGATTATTGTCCATCAAGCTTTGGTGCGAAAATATGCCCCCTTGTTGTCTTATCACTGCCATTCATTAACCAAAAGTAAAAACAAAACAATACAATCATTACTAGGTTGACCAACCACGCCTCCTTACCTAGATTGCAGACAAATCTACACTGTCAGTATGGAATTTTGAGGGATAAATCGCAGATGTCTCTCCTACAAAACGCCCATGGTGGCAAGGAGCAATATGTATATTTCACAGGCTAGGTTCATGTAAACATGATTCTATATCTCTCAATACTCTATTTTTCCTCCTCGCTTTTTAGGAATGAATGTAAAAGATTTCACTACAAAATGGGGCGGTGAGGACTGGGATTTGCTTGATCGGGTGCTCTCATCTGGACTGGAGATTGAACGACTCAAACAACCTGGCCTGTTTCATTATTACCATTCTCATTCAGGGATGTGGCAAACATAGTTTGGAATTGCAGTCAGTGAATACAAAGTGATATTACAGGCTCTCATTGGTTACTTTGAGGTCACATGACATCTAACAGTAAAACTGTTTCTTGCCAAAATCTCTGAGCTGGGAACATTGCAAAATCTATGACATCAGAGGGTAACAGTGCACTGTTACCTGCGAATGTTAACTGACAACCACCATTATATTGCAGCCAGGTTTCATGAATTTCCAGCTTTATACTGTAACAATTCACTTAAAGACCGGTCCCTCAGAAAACAGTTGTTTTTGTTTCCCTCAGGACTAGTCACTAAGTATTTATTATTAATATTTGTTTATTCATTGTTCAATAGTTATTGAGTGATGATAGTCCATTTTCGAGTTCGCTATGACCGCTGAATTAAAGAAGTGAAGATGCATTTTTGACAGCCTTAGCCTCCATCTGAAGTAATATATTCACAAATTCCAACGAGAAAAAGGACCTGTTTATTACTCTGTCTATTGTGTATATTCAAATTTCAAACACTTACTTGCCAGAATTTCTGAATATTTTACTTTACGTCAAGGCTAACACTGTATGAATGTGTCGTTAATGTTTGTATTCAGTGGTAATTTTAATTCAAAACTGGACTATTAACTAGCAGATTATTAATTAGTCAAAACAGCCTTATCCTAACATAGCATATGAAGGTTTTCATGGCACAATGGTCATCATTTTACAGGGTTCCAATGTATTATGAAGATGATATATCTCAGGAAGTGTCCTATTTCCTCTTGTTTCTAATAGCACCCAAACTCTCAAATAGGAAAAATCATTATAGATTTTTATTATATAATCTTGCATTGGCCTTCTATGATAATTAGCAGTGTTAAGTTAAAAAAAATGCTGATAACAGATGTTTCAGCAGTATTTATTTCAAACATTGTAACATCTTTGAATTATTGTCGGGTTTCATCTGGAGCGAATCTAAACCCAGAACCTCATGCATGACATGCCTTAAGATTGACTCTGCATTAAAATTTTTTGCTTGCTTAATTGATTTGCAGAGTTTTTTCACTATATCATTTCATTAATTCTTTATGAATTAATTTATATCTATAGTCATTATTTTATTGAATCATAATTATATATATTTATTTTTCAAGAATTATGAATTATAAGATACCTGAAAATAAATTATGGTGTAAAGACAGCTTAAAAAGTATATGTTATGAATTATAATATAGAAATTAGAAAGTTATATTCTAGAAAAAAAAGTACAGTTGACTCGCGATAACTTGAACCCTCACTAACTCAAACTAAAATCAATTTCCTCTGGATTTCCTTCATACATATCTTACCCTTGGAAACTTGAACCCTCAATAATTCAAGCCTACCACTAACTCGAAGTAATTTTTGTTTCCCTTCAGACCATTTCTATACTATTTTACCCAATAACTCAAACCATGTTTTAAGCGCATGACAAGTCAAAAAACCGCAGTGAACTGGAGTCCAAAACATTGAATTTCTCTCAAAACAACCTTGTATTCTTTGTCTTTAAGTGCCTTTAATTTTTTGTTGGTCCAATAATATTATCCAAATCACAATGTTTAGCAATGTAGTGATTAATCAAGCTTTGTTGCCTAATTTATTTGTTAAAATATCAATATATCTCTTGCAGCCCTTGAAGTGCAGGGTGCATGCTCCTTGTATTCCTCCTCCATCCGATTTCCTTAATTCTCATTATTTTCTTTGAACTCCCAATAACTCAAACTGTTTTCGATTTCCTTTGAAGGGTCCAGCTATCGAGAATCAACTGTACTACAGATTATAAAATATATTAAACTGAAAATGGTGGGAGTGTTTCATAATGTAGTCGTTATTATTTGTAAATGATATTATATAAGTCAAGTAAATGCTACATATATTTGCTTTAAATGACTGCTAGCATAACAAAACATAGCAGAATTCTTTTACTTATTTTACCACACGTATAACTTTAGGTGTTACTGTTGGTTCTCTTGTTAGAGTTTCCATTTGGGCTGCAAGTCTGTGCTCTCAGTAGCAAGAGTCAGACAAACATCTGTAATTTATTTTTGCCAGGGATTTAACCATTCATTAATTAGTAGTTCTCTTGGACTTCTCATTGGTAGTAGAATTTAGATCTGTGTTATGATTTTAGTTTTTTAAAATATACAATATTTTTGTTTCTATAAGCTGAAATTTTTGTCCAGCAGCCTATTCTTTCAAATAGGCCTCTTGCATTAAGATGTCACATGGCAAATGCTTTCTTTAAACAAATTATTAGTTGAAACCTGGCTGATGCCAAAAATTGACAGAGCACATAAAAATTATCTTACACCCCAAACTTGAGAGGAAGTACATTATTTTAAGGGAGATATTTTGTGGCACTTTGATTTCTTCAACAAAATAGTATGCCCTCCAACTTGGCGGCCAAAACTACTTTCTGCTTTACCTTGTTAAACATTCGCTAGTTACGCTCAGATGTGCTGTAAATGTAACCACATCATCTTTTCAATATTTTTCTTGAAGTTTAAGAGCACAGTTTGTGTTCAGAAAGAAGTAATTCATAATACTAAAAAAATCACATTTTGATTATGTGACCAGCTATGAACAAACTCATTTTAAGAAAATGGTGCTGGTTTGAAAAACCAAATCACAATAATTATTTTGTTTAAAACATGACCCACTTGTCGTTTTTCGATGGTAAATCATATAACGTTCATTTTCATAAAAACAATGTCACATGACCTTTTAGTGCAAATGGCCTATGTGAGGTTACATGACATACAAAAAAAAACTGTTTCGCACCAGGAGCCGATAATTTGGAGCAAGCAACTCCCCAATTTTGCAGTGGTGGATCCAGGAGAAGGGGGGGGGGGGCAGTCATCTAGACTCTGAGATAAGGGGGGCCCAGGCTCAAAAAAAATTTGGTCTAAAAATAGGGGGGCCACCCAGGTCCCTCCCCTGGTTTTGCCCTTGTTTTGTGCCAAAGTCATTCTTAAAATATACTGGTTGGTGAAAATGTCACGACAAGAGTACATTGACGTTGCTTTCTCTGGGTTACTGTCACCTTATGGTCTTTTATTCCCACCAAAATCTTTTTTAATGTTAATTGGTAAAATGGCCCGATCTAACCCACAAAATGTTGGGTTTTAGTTTAGATTTACCGTCATAAATCTTTCACCTGTGAAAGTTTTTCCTTATATATGCTATATAACAAATTACTGGTCCCTCAGGAAAGTAGTTAATTTTGTTTCCCTCGACTTCACCTCACAAAAATTAAATCATTTTTTCCACAGGGTCAGTCACAAAGTGTCACATTTTGTGATAATTTATCATTTAATATCTATTCTTAAGTGGTTATAGGCTTAAATTTATTTATTTTATCATGATATTTGAGAAAGAATGACATGAAATAAATTAAAGTGCTGTTATGTGACTGTTAAATTGTCCCAACTCATTTTATGGTCAATTGACTATTACCAGTAGTGTGTCCATATTTGTTGGCTGGCTACAATAGGGTCCATCATTGACCATCATTGTTTATGAAGGGTTTGGGGTCTTAAAGCAATTTAAAGCCACTTTTCTTTTACTAACACTGGAATTAAAAGATGAAAAGGAATAATTCTGAATTTAGCTGCTCTTTTCAAAATTTTTAGCCCCGTTGGTTGCTGGTGTCGGTCACTAAGTAGTGTTGTTGGTGCAAGAAGGACACATCGAAATTGTGCTCTTTGACTCGAGTAGATTTCTTGCTTTAATATCGAGTTCCATTTGAGAAAATAGAGACACAAAACAAGACCGGTGCGGCTGTCCTTTAACGTTGATAATATGGCATAGTTTAAAATATCAGTACTTATCGGATGAACGCTACGTAATCCACAGTTGAATCCATTCAGTCAACCGATCATATTTCTGTTCTCGCATCTTCCACGTGCACCGTTAGGTTGTTCTGCTCAAGAAGTTCTTCCTCAATTTCAGACAGTCTGAATAAAATAAACAAAATGTTCGAAACATGTAAGCGTACTTTCACTCCTGTGGCCTGTTTTACAAAGAGTTGTTCCGTGACTGGAAGCAAGAAAAATTTTACCCGCTTTGAGGAAGAACAGACTTCAGTGCAAAACGTTCTTGAAAACCGACGTAAAAACGAGAGGGGATTGGGGCCAAGGCGAGAGTTTCCTTTCGATCCAGTCCCCCCTCGTTTTTCCCTTGGTCAATCCAGTGGGTCCAGAGTATGCATAAGTGAACACCAGTGGGTGGAGACTAATCCGTTGGACAGCGTTAACCACCTTTTGACCAAGGCCAGTCCCTTAAGTTTGCTAACGAACACGCACTTCCAATTCCGTGAGTGATACAAACGACGGCAGGCATTGATTCTTTTGCTCTATTAACAAGAGTACGCTGAGTGGATTCGCTGGGAAACGCAGAGATGCGTTATAGACCGTATTCCAAAATAGTGGCAAATTTAGCTTTTCTTCAGTCTTCAATGATAATAATTCCCCACTTCAGAAAATACAGTAGAACCTCCGCTAACTCGAACTCTCCGCTGAATATAGAACGGAACTAAGTCCGATTTCCCTTGGATTTCACTCCACTTTTCCGTCATTTTACCCGGTTAACTCGAACTCGGATATCTCCAATTCCCCGCTAACTAGAACTACAGTCCCTTTCCCTTGATAAAAAATTCACAGAAATTTACCCCAACTCAAATTCTGGTTCTCGCAGCTCCACTAGTATGCCATCCTATCAGCTCTTCCTTTTGTATTAGGGTAAAACACTAAAACTAACACTCGTCAACACTACAGAAATCTGATTTTGATTGGTGCAGCGAACGGATCACGTTTTATCATAAAAATGCCTAATCATGTTACCGTTTCTTATGAAGTTAGTTAAATTTTCGTGATGCTATATACTGAAGTGCTGAAAAATTAGTGACTCTCAATCGCACATTTCGTCTAAAATAAGACGCGACTTAGCTAAGACGCGTCTTATTTTAGAACAGCCCTTAACATCTGTTCTTAGATAAGACGCGTCTTAGCTAAGACGAGAAAAACTTCGTATAAACGACCTTCGCGTCTTAAATAAGACGCGAACGCATAGTACGCATGCGTTAATTTTTGGCGCGCCACGTTGGATTGCCGTTGCTACGGGCAACATTCACATTAAAACGACTCAAGAACAGAAATAAGACGCGAACCATTTATACCAGCTGTTCTCGTCTTAGGTAAGACATGCTCGTATAAATGGTACAGTTCGCGTCTTATTTAAGACGTGTCTTGTGTAAGACGCGTCTAATTTTTCCCCGTATAAATGGCCCTAATGTCTTTAATCGAGGAAAATAGAAAACAAGCAAACAAATGAACGGACGAGCAAGCAAGCAAAAAAAACAAAAAGCCAAAAACCGAAAAGGCAGGCAAATTTTCAGTAACATTTACAGTAAAATGAAACAAAACTGAATGGAAGGCTGGCACCGTAGTCTCCCTCGCAGCCGTTTTTAGTATCGTCACGCAACGCTCCTCCCCACAAGAGCGTTGCGTGACGATACTAAAAACGGCTGCAAGGGAGACTACTGGCACCGCGGCAAAGGGCTAATTTGTTATAGGCCAATATTTCGGCTAACAAAATTAGCCCCTCTCAGGACCAGAGCTATACCGAAAGAAATATTTTCCAACGGCTCTTAGAATTTAAATTTGAAATTGACATAAGTGGTTAATAATTAACTACAAGTATAAATACTAGATAGAATGATATACAGGTAAATGATCATTCAATAAAAATAGAAATAGAAAATGTTCAATGTTCATTCCTTCGGTTCAGACCGTCTGGTGACAGGGTTTTGTCTCTAACTATGAGGTACGCTTCTCTTGCCTTACGGCGTGACATGCCGAGAGTGCAACAGTGGGTTGTAAGTCCAGCGTGGGTTGTAATTCCGCTGGACTTACAACCCACTCTCAGCCAAAAAAAAAAACAGCGCTTGTTCTGCAGTCTACTTTAAAATCCAGAATCCCGAAAAATCTACTGTAGACCCTCCCGAATTACATCATTAATCATCCCCGCCACCAGAGGAATCACCTCCTACGCTGCCAAATGACGTATGAGAATCACTTCTATGCAAGGCAGCAGGCTGATGACTGAAGACGGGTCCCATTGTATACTGATTCTGTGATAATATGGCTCCTCTGTACTGCCTATTATTCCGACACAGGAGTAAAGGTAAGAGGACTATGATTACAAGGCCTGCAACGCCACACGCCGCGGGGATTATAATACGACTGTAATTAATCCTTTTCTTGCTCTCGCCTTGATCAAAACTATCAGTTCCAGACCCAAAACGACTTTCGGTTGTGTAAGTTTCCGTGCCCCACCAAGAATCGTCGGTTGATATTCCACCGGTGTGCCAGGGGTTTCTTGTACCTGAAGTACCTGATGTACCAGTGAACCATGGATTCGGAGTGGCAGTGTTCCAAGGTCTTCGAGTGTACGTGGTTGACGGGTTTGGTACACTTCCACATGCGATCCCTTGCCTTTTCCATAATGTATAGTACCAGCCATCGACACAGACAGAAAACCTGACAGAGGGGTAGTCGAAAGTACTGCAAAATGACACACCGAGATCACCGGGTCGTTTCCCATGATAGACAACGCTGAGTTCTTTACCACCAATTGGGGTGGGGGTAGGGCACTGTTTGTTAACGGAACATTTCACCCCCGTGTAACCAGGGGGGCAAAGACAAAGCGTATCGTTTCTAGAGGTGTAAACGCAAGTGGCATTGTCATGACACGGCTTTGATGGGCAAGAGTTCGACATCGCTGTCACGCCCCTACATAGCACCCTAAGTTTGGCTCTATCACGCCACCCACTATAAATAAATTTAATCGACCAAGTCTTGCTGATGAATTCAGGTCGAAGCGCTGGATCCTTTACTCTCATGTACGCTTGGTCTTTTGAATTTCTCGGCAGATATGCTGCTGTCACCACCCAGTAGCCGTCAACATACTGTAGATACCAAGACTGTTTACTGTGCTCGTAAACAGGACGAAGATTGCGGAACATACCAGGTTTCCGAAAAAAATAATGCTGAGCGGGATCGTTTAAAGTGTTTCCCCTTCCATCGGTAAAGCTTTCGTTCAAGTAAACTCTGTCAGAGTTGCATTCTCTGAAATCTTCATCGACACACACTGCCTTGATCATGGGCGAAGAGCTGCTTGATTGAACTCGGCGCCACCTGAAGCCCCGTTTATCGTAGTAAAGCCAATATCGAACCAATCCCTCAAACACATCGTTTCTGTTCAAACTTCCTGAGGCAGGCCAAGCTGTCGGGTTACTAAAGCCAAAAACCTTAGCAGCAACGCCAAACGAGTGTTTATAAGAGAGACCAAATACGTAATATCCGTACTTTTTTTTGCTGTAATAAAAAATCAGGTTATCCCGCTCTCGTCTATAGACGGGAAAGTTGTTATAGTCGTAAATGTGTTTGACGTACACCCCTTCGATCATTTTATAGGGCATGGTCTTCTCGTCGATGTTTTGAAAAAATATTCTGGGACAGAATGTCCTGGAACTTGACAATGTAACCATTGTGCAAAGCAAAACTGATAGCAGGAGAACTGTTCGAAGCATCTCAAAAGCTTTGCTGTGGGGTAGCATAACTGAGCTGCTAGTAGTGTCTCTCGAGTTGAACAGATAAAGTGATGTCGAAATGCATGCTGTAACTTTCTTTTATGCTATTACACAGTGCTGTTTCAACATTATGTTTCAACGGATTTTTCGTCACACGAAGCATGAGGCTTATCATGCAGATCATGAAGATGAAGCGTTCCCAGAATCTCGGGAAGTCAGAGAGGTTGGAGGCGAGAGGGAGTGTCTTCATTTCCAAATTGAACTTGATTTCAGAAATAAATTCTTTCAAACTCGGTTTACCATAAAAATGGAATACTGAATGGTAATTTTTGGGGAAAAAATTATTCGGATAGGGCTTTCCCTCTATTTAAAAGTCATTGCAGTTTGGTATCGAGGTTTCTTAGATTTCACCCTTCCTGTCACCACCCTGATTATGACGTCATTTCCGTTCTTTTGAGAAACACCTAAAGTCACGTCGTTTTTGCACGTCGTTAATAACGTTTTATAGTCTTGCCACAAGTGGACCTCACGACTGATTTAAATCGGACGAAAATGTCTATGGGAAGTCTAAAAGTCTTTCTTTTTCGAGTCAGTATACTCGTTACAAGAAACTACTAATAAGGGTCAGAAAGCATTCGATCATTCTGTTACAGATCAAGAACTACCAATGTTATGATTTTTGTTTGATAATAATTCTCACCTTAAACTCTGTCCTACAATAGCTCCGTCCTGGCTGGAGGAGGATTGGGAGAGATTTCTGAGAAGCAGAGTGTGTTCAGGAATTAAGCTTGGCGGAAATCCTTATTTCTAGTAAAACTCGTAGTGTTTCGTGACTTAGTCAAGTGCGTGACACGCTCAAGAGGACTGCACACTAGCTTGGCGAGGTTACCAAGTTTGCCGAGGGAGGTCTGGGAAGAGAGTTGGTCAAAAAATACAAAATAAAAACATTTGAACGAAGAAAATCTTTTCAATTATGAGCGATTTAAAGCCAATAGTTCTAGGTATGGCCCATGGATTGAAAGATTCTCTGATTGGGATGACAGCACTTCTTAGACTTAAAAGTATTCTAGAAGGAAATCACGCGGAGAATCAATACAATACTAATGTTCAGCCTCACCGAAGAACCAGGCACGGGGCCAAAACAGTGGAGAAGAAAAAGGATCTAAGGTAAGCTAAACTTGTTGTTCAGCTTGTCGTTAACATAGGTTGAAAGGGAAACGTTAGAGGCTGATGTGGAAATGATAATTATAAAAAAATGTTGCTTGTCTTCTTTGGGAACCAAACAATCGGATCGAAATCGGAATTCATGCAAATTTAAGTTTTCTTCTACAAAGAGTGTCACATTATGACAGTCTTCAAGAGAGCCGTGATAATCCATTTAATTCAAATTGCTGGTTTTGTTTGCAATCCTGTGTTATTGTACCTTGAATTTCCATCGAACGTTTTTCACATATAAGCTTGCATCTGTGCAAATAACAACAAAAATAGGTGAGAAAATTATATCACAGTTTCATGTACATGTTATCTGATTCATTAACTACTGTAGATGCTTTGCTAAACAGAGCACTTTAGTTAGTATTCAAAGTAGAAGACATCCTGACAGAACATTGGCACATGTCAAACTTATAATAGGCCTTTTGCATTACAGTTGTAGTTGATCAAGGGATGGACTTTCCATAAACACGAAAACAGTTTGCTTTTGAAAAATTTTGTTAGCAAGAGCTGAAAGAGCCTATTAAAAACCCGGGGGGAGCACTTGGGTATTTTTTGGGTGGGTATGTGCCGCCCGGGACTCCAAATTGGCACCCCGTTCTAAAAAAAATTTCCCCTAAAATTGATACCCCTTTCTAGAAATGGGCCAATTTTTTATACCCCATTCTAGAATTCACCCTAAAACTGATACCCCATTCTAGAAATGGTCCAATTTTTTATATTCCGTTCTAGGGTGCAACAAGAGTACAACAGTCTGCTTGTTAACGCACTGAACCATATTTTTAAAAGCAATCTGTCCTGAATAATTTCAAATGGCTGCTTACAAAACTGGTGCTTTCGTGCGTTCGAAATATTATACCCTGTTCTAGAAAACGCCTATGAAATGGATACCCCGTTCTAAATCAGGAGCTTCAAAATCACGTCCCTGTTGGGCGGCACATACCCATATAGGTAATGTATGGGAGTACCCCGGGATTAAAAATAGGTAACTTGTAAATTTCAGCCGTATATCTCCAAAGTAGCGATTGCAACAGCTGCTGAAATTTGAGGGATTTATATGAAAAAAACAACTTTTTCCCCCCGCGCTTGAGTGGTTTTCCATACTACTCCTTGTAAATTCTGAAATTTTTAAGCTGTCATTAAATCTTTCCCTTATGCACTTAAGGGCTCAAAGTACCTGTTATGAATTAAAATGATATTTGAGCCCCGTGATACTAAAGGAAATGTTTCACGAAATTCACAAGGATTTGTATGGAAAACCATTCAAGCGTGACTGGGTGGTAAAAGTTGTTTTTCTCATACAAACCCTTCCAACTTTTGGCGCCATTGCAATCACTACTTTTGAGATACACCGCTGAACATTTTACTGGGTACCTAATAATTATTTTTAATATGCTCTTTCAGCTCATGCTAACAAAAGTTTTCAAAAGTGAACTGTTTTCATGTTTACCAAAAGTTGATCACATGATCACTTAATGCAAAAAGCATATCATGTAAGCATGATGCGCTGCATCAAATCACTGTCTGCAGTTGAACTACATTTTTTTTAAACATTTTTTTTTTACATTTGATAGCCAGCATCTAAATTAATATTATTCTATTTCTTTGAAGACCAATAAATATTTAATAAATTGCATTAAAAGTTTAATACTATATAAAAAGGCTATTAGCAACAACAACATTAATGAAAAAACCCTGTCACCCATAATAATAGACAAGGTTACATGTTGCTATCTTTTACATGTTCTGTTAGTTGTACAGTCTGAAAGGTGTAGCAGAATAAAAAAAACGTGCTTTACCAAATCTCTGCAAAACATCCTCTAGAATTTAAGCACCTCAAAATATTACCTGGCTCAAGCTTTAATAACATTTCTGACTGGAGTTTTTATTAACCAGCCATGTTTAAGCATTGGTGCAAATGATTCAACTTAGAGATCATGTCAAACAATTTTTTCATGTTCTTTTTTTTGCTATCTTTTTAGTTCAGTTGGTGTGAAGGAAATATTTAGTAAAATGTTACAGTGCTGTCTTTTGAATGGGGGAATATTTTGGGTAAGTGGTCGGTGACCTTAATTTTTATGTTTCCAAAATGTACAGTAGAATAAAGGGTGCATTTGGTCATAAAAAGTATTCTACGGCTATACTATTGCCATTAACAGCAATAATCTGACATCACAATTGAGCGGTCATTCAAGGATTTGACCAGAGAATACCTATTTTCGATTGGACATTATCTGTTGACCAGCCGTTTGATAAAGTTTTCTTCTGGTTAAAAATCATGAGTCCTTGTTCAAGGAAGTTAAAACAGGCCGACTTTATTACAAACAAAGTCTGTTATCAGTACTATATTCTCAGTTAGTATTGTCTCAATTTTTTTATCTTATAAGAGGTAGGATTTTTTGTCTAAAGAGAAAGTATAACCAAAATACTATTTCAAATTTCAAACCAAAGCTGACTTCCCTTTGCCAGTTAAACACTGGATTTTTAACCCAGTTTTTCAAACCTCTTAAGAATATAACCAGTTTTTTTCCCTAGAGAGGTTTAAAAAAAAAGGTGATTTCCATGTTGTCCACTTGGGGTTTGTCAGAAGTTATGTTTATACTGGTGCTTTCTCCTAGATGAGCATTTTCCTTTTTGAAGGCTTCATTATTCCTGGACTACAGAACCTTACTCATTTCATATTCAGTAAGTAATACATGGCATTTCTTGAAGGCTCTGTTCTCCAACAAATTATGAGGATGCATAGTTACAGAGATGATAAAAACTTTTTTTCCGGTTTACTTTTATCCAGGCATGTATATAATGGTATATTATGCAGGGGCACCCAACAACTGTTTTATCTTTTCGGAGACGCAAATATTGCCAAGAATTTTCTATTACTTGAGGACGGCTAAAACTTTCTAGATGACCATTCCATTCATGTACAATTTTTTTCGAAGCTTATACGACAAATTCCCTCCGATTTTCTGAAGAGTTAATTTTTCACATATTTTCACTGCCCAGGTTAGGCTATTTTGTGTGGAAAAGGAAACCTAAAATATTTGGATTTAAAAAGCTGATGAAGAGAGGAATCGGAAAAATTCTTTCTTTCTTAAAATTATACGTTAAATTGCATCTTAAGTGTTTGGGAAAATAATACTGAAACCCTCGTAATTTCGAAAAGACTCAATTAAGTTCCCCTATGATGACCGAATGGGTACAAATTTTAGAATGCATTTTCAGAGAGATCTAAAAGTACTCTGGATAGCCTAAAAAGTGTTTGTAATGTATTTAGGAAGAAATTGTGGTTGGGTGCCCCTAATTATGTACAGCAATCAACATTGGAGGGACAGGGGTGTAATCACACAGGGGCTGGTCGTACAATGTAGCTTATTAGCCTTCAAAACCTTTCTTTCAAAATAAAGCACATTCCAAGGTGTCTGCTTTATAGAGTACTTGTAAACTAAAACCCTGGTCAAAACTCTTGGGACACAAATGCAATAGCTCACCAAAATGAGGCATTTTCCATCCCCCCCTCCCCTCCTTCCCCTCTGGTGCAGTGTTGATGTGTCAACTCAACCAACACTACTTGGGGGAGAGGGGGACAGCAGAAACACGCTCTTATAACAATATTCCCAAGCTTTTTTAAGAGTTAGAATATGAGTTCATTTAGCAGAGTGTGGCTTTTGTGCCTCATTTCCTCAAGTGTCCCAAGATATTTTGACCTGGGTTGTAGCTGGATAAGCCAAGTACACTCTCCACTACGAACAAAGCTTTAACAATTTTGAAACCTTTTTATTATATATTTACAATCTTTTGTTGTTACTTTGTGCCATAGATATAGTTAGTGGCAGTACACAGCATCAGGGTTTATGGCTATGGAAGTGGATGGGACCTTTCCTGTCATACTTGTTCAGTGCTTTGTGGGTGCTACCTCTGTATTGGCTGAGCAAACCCCTCAACTCATTATGGTATCAGGTATGAAAGAAAAATACATTTAAGTTGACTTACTAAAAAGTTAGTTTTACCATAGTTAGTAGGGGAGACTGGTTAGGAAAGCCGGCAAACATCAAAGTTGAAAACAATGGTGCTGTAGTTTATGTTGGAAGCTCCCCAACCATACACAAAATAGCCTTTGTTTTTTGTTCAAAACTTGTGACTGAATAAATTAATGCGATGTTTCTATTGGTCAGTAAGTTCAAAATGATAGGAATGCTATTGAACATTGTGCGCGGTCAGGTCCAAAAAAGCTAACAAAAACATATAACAAAAGAGTCTAATGGGTTTCATAACCTTTCCACTTTAATAACTCTGGTTTTACTCAAGGTAATTCTTGGTGCCCTTTTGATATTAGTTTATTAGTAATGGTTTTTTATTATATTGCTGCTTCTGCAAGCAGGCAAGATGAAGCAAATGCTGTGTTCTGATTGGCTACCGAGTGGAGCAAGATAAGCCTATCTTGTTCAGTATTTTCTCCATTGGTCTGGCAAGAAAAACGTCTCTTGCTCTTATAATAAGTTAATTATTGACCAAGCTTGTTGAGTAAAGATGCCTTGAAATTGGCCTCATGTGTGTTTTATTGAACTTAATTTTGTCTCAGTCCATAAAAACGGGAAAGGGAACTTGGCAGACCTGCCAACCCCTGATAAAGGAAAATCTGGAGATTCATGGAACAAATCAAGAAATTCTACAAAAAGTAGTGAGATTCTATTTTTTCCTGATCAAGATTAAACGAACCCTTTTTCCATTGGGGGAATTGACTGTTAATTTAAACATTAGCCTGCTTTAGTTGGGTCTCTCCTGTAACAAATTAGATGCCGCTTTTTCTTTGATGACTTTAAGAGGCTAGAGAATAGGTCATCACTGGATGAAATTTATAGCAAAGAGTCATTTCCTTCGGATAAGCCAACTTTTCCCAGGGTAGAAATGGTATTTACTACATGCCTGAAATGGTAGCGTATTGATTTGCTTTAAACTACCTTTGCATATGATTATGCAACTTTTCCTAAATCTGGCCACTCCTTGTGCAGTGATGTGGGTAAACTGGCAAATGGGTCTGACTTAAGTTACCGATTTTTTGCCAGGAAATTGCTGACTCAGCATACCGCAATACAAGGGGAAGACCACTTGGATTTTTAGCAACTGTTGGAAAAGAAAGGTTAAAATAAACATAGCCTAACAGTTACTTTATAACCCAGCAAGGTTGAATAATGAAATCATACCTTAATGTTATTCCCAAATTTTGTATTTGGCACACATTTAAAAGGAATAATTTCGACGCTTTGTGCTAGAGACATTAAAGTCATGTTAAGACAGCTTTAGTAATGTTGAGTGTGAATAAAAACGGTAAATAAGACAGACGAATTTAACGTCTGACGACATAAGCGTCCAGACGCACTTAACAGACAGCTTTAACGTCTCAGACAATAAATGCATCTAGTATAAAAATGGGACGCCGTAATCTGGGATGCATTTTTGCTCACTTCGCCCAAAGATCACTGGGAAGAGTCAGAGTTGTTTTTCTTAATGTGATCGTCAACCTTTGTGCGTCCTGTTTTTACAACAGTCGACTTAAACGTTAAACATTAAATACGACTAGACGACTTTAACGTCGGAGTCTAAGGTAAAAACAGCCGTTGGGACTAGCCTGAATTTCATCCAACTTCTTGTTGTCATAAGCTCCCATCTCTCTTATATACCTGCCAACTCTCACGCCTTAGGCGTGAGTCTCACGCCTGCGGGTTGAAAACTTCGATCTCACGCCCGCTCACGCCTGCGGACCAATTTCTCACGCCTGATTGAAAAATGTGAGTTGTTGCCGTCTTGCTTGACACAATTTCCAAAAATATGTTAACTCAGACCCATGTAAGGAACGAAAACCATGAGTAAAATGAATAAATGACAATACCTTCCTCGCGATCTCTGATTTTGTGGATAAGCGTTTTCTCGATAACTTCGCCTTCGGCAGACTTCGGACGTCTTCGGAAGACTTCGGACGTCTTCGAAAGACTTCGGACTTCTTCGGGAATCTTCGGAAATGATCGTGTCGTTTTTAAAAATCCCAGCACTCCCAGGATAAAAATCTCACGCCTACATCTCAGAAAAAGTTGGCAGGTATACTCTTAGGAGTTTGCGACTCAAGAATATGGCTGAAACTCAAGCTATGATCAAATGGTGCGAATTGTTTGTCAGTTCTCGTAGCGAGCAAGCAAGCTCTCCAACGGAGATGTAAGAGCAACAGGCTGTTTACTTGGACATTCTCTTGCAGCTTGCCATGTTGTTACTCGAAGTGGAGAACTTGCTCACAGGCTAGGATTCTCTGACCACCTCTTTTCTGAAATTTGTTTGTAGTTCTTGCAAGTTTTAAAAACTGTGGCACAGTTGACCAACTATTTTGCTGGGGTCAACGTTTAATTCAATTTTCATACACTGTCGTCTCTAGGGATTGAAAATTTAACGATTTTTCATTCACATGGAACAATAGAGGGCTTTTTGAAAGAAGTCACAGAATATAACTTTTCGTCAAGAAGTTAATCTATTTTTGTTTTTGTTTTTTTTCCTCTTTCAGTGTGTCATCCCACATCAGTAAAACAGTGGCAGATTTCTTCTTTAGTTTTTTACTGCAAATGTTTTTTCTTGTTCAGGTATTTTAAGTGAAGTGCACTTATTCTGTGTTACAGACTTAACTTTTTGGGGGGGAGGGGGAAGGGGGGTCAACCTCTCTGTTGCCCTCAAAAATGACCCCTTGATACTGTTATATCGGCGTTGGTAAAATTTAAACGGTTTTGAACTTGGTTTTGTCAACCACCGTCAAAACTCTGCTACTCTGCTTCAAAATAACGTTACCGGTCCTTTATATTCGCAGTAGTGAATTTTACTTTTGCAGTGGCTCTAACCTATAGACTTGGCAGGAGTGTTCATGTCCCAACCGAGGCCTGCGTGTTATAGCCCGCAAGGTCGAGATAATTTGTTCCGAGGGCGGGTCCCTCACATCTCAGAGCGTTAAAGAGCGAGACCCGACTAAACTGAATGACTGGATTGCTCGTTGCTTATGACACCCTTAGATGTAGTTTGTAAATGCAGAACTTTTCTCTCCATCAAACAACTAACGTATTAAGCAAAGATAACTTGACGGCGCTTTCTCTATTGACGATGTATTGTCTTTGCTAAATCTGCTTATAATGAGTTCTGTAATACCGACTCTTAAAACGATTCAGTGGTTTAAGCAAGTCCCATTATGGCTCTTGGTTTTAAGGTCACCTTCTTCTACAAACCGTGGAGGAACGTGAGGTTCTTGATTTTCCCCTATGTCATGTGACTGGTTGGTCCGGCAAGTATAAAATTTAAAGATCATATGAAAAATGTGAAAAGCAAAAACCTGGAAATACGTCTGAGATTCAAAGGGACTCAAACCATTGACCTACCGTAAACTGCCGCTTAAAAGCCCTTGTCCCAATAAAGGCCCTGATCCACCTGCAAACCAAAAAATACATCCGATTATAAGCCACGCGGATATAAGTCCCCCTCTATTTTGTATTTAAATAAATTCCATTCATTATGACGTTTTGAAGCTTCATTAAAAACCGGTGAATGCTAAACGTACTTTCATCAGCACTGCTATGGCTTGTTTGGAAGCGCTTCAGTTTTCTTGTCCGGTTATAAGCCAGGCTTCCTCCTCGGATACAAGCCTCTCTGTTTATAAGCGCTCCTAAAACCCCTTACGAAGATGTATAAGCTAACTGCGGGCTTGTAGGCGACAGTTCACAGTATGCATTACTGGTGCGTTTCTTTGCCAATTGAGCAATGACAGTACTAGTGAAGTCGGTTTAATAATCGGAAGCATTTTCTTTTTCTGATAGGCTATGGTAGCAAGCTTTCTTCCTATCTTGGGACCTGTAATCAGTCTTGGTCACATGTGTCTTCTCTATTCTCTCTACACATTTGAATACAAGTGGGTTAATATGGGTGAGTAAAGAAAAATACGTGAAAGGCTTATTAAATTAGAGCGATTTTCGCGCGATAAGAGACCTTTAAATTTGAGGACGAGATTTTGCGTAAAGTTTTTTCGCGTATTCGCAAACAATATAAACTCCGGTGACCTTCATTGTACTTTTTTTTCACCGGAAAAGTTAACACAGCTAAGGGAACGCGTCCAAATATCGGCATCGGGTCACACCGATGCCGATCAATTGGGCACCGATTTTTTCCGATTCCGTCGAAGGTCGGACCCGATTTTATCGGCACCGAATGAAACGGAATCGGCAACGGGTCTCAAGTCTTTATCGGGCCAATTAACAAAGGTCATCAAAAATATCTGGCAGCTCAAATAACCCGTCACAAAAGCAAAAGCAAAAGCGTGAATGTTGTTTTTTATAACCTTATCTTTCTTATAAATGTGTCTTGTTTGAACCGAAATTTAACGTCACAGTTTCGAACATTTGTTTGTATTTCCTATGACAGAGTATGACCAGAAAATATTAAATTTGTGTATCAAAATGGGCACGAGAAGAAACAGCAGGTATCTTTTGAGTGAAAGACGGCGCAATGTACATTGCAAGTGTACGATGTGATAATTTTAAAAAATGATAATTTTAAAATAGCTTGAGCCTGTGCTAACCGGAACCCAAAACGCATGGTTATAGGAATCTTTGGAGGAATAAACAGTTTAGGACTGTAAACGAAAAAAATAGAAGTCAGAACATCCACGACCAAAATGCAAATGTTGTTACCATGCCCGGTTACCATGTCGTGTACTTTAACTGCTAAATTGCCACAGGAGAGAAGAGGACATCGTCTGAGAATCAAGCTGCAAGTTGTTTATTGGTTGCATATGAACTCAAAAAAGTGACTGATGGAGGCGTTCAACTGGCTTTCTCTTTCTCGATTGTCTTTCTGCTATTGAGTCGAACTTACCGGATGTATGCCAGTTTGCTTTAGTTGAACACTCCGATAAAATAGGTTCTGATTTTTGTCAAACAGTCAGCCACCTAGAGTCAAGCGCAGATTTTTCTAAGTGCTGAGAGTGGAAAGCAATTTCACGTGGCACCATGCTCAAGCTCACAGAACATACAGCAAAGTCGCTAAGCCATTCTCTCTTTGGTAGCTCCTGTGTGAAACTTCGTTCCGTGTCTTCCGTGACTCGCGAGTGTGGGAATCTTTCAGTTCTTGTTGCTAATTCCCTGGAGACAATCTGAGGCCGCAATCTAATTGGTCGGTATTTTTTGCCTCAGATCGCATTACACCTTGCGTTTAGGATCGTTGAATGAAAGACGCAAATTTTCGTAAAAGTTTATCCCGTGGTTTCACATTATCCATGGTTTTGCTCTCGCTCCGCTCGCTAGGAAACCCGTTGAGGCCTACTTGTAACGAGTCTATGAATCCATCTGTGTTTCGAGAAAGTGAGTTCCGGTTGTGTTTTTGGATTGCATTGTTAGAAAGTATCGAGTAAAAAACACACTACTCAGTAAGGTGTTTTGTTTGCTATATTTCAACGAAGAACAGTGGTGTTTTGCGTCGTAATATTTAACTCCTTTTAATTTTCATAGAATAAATGTTATGGAGCAGCGTGGTGTTTGCGATCGACTGAAGGAAATACCTCTGCAAAACGCCGAAAATCACGTGTATATATAGGCACGCATCAAATCAACAAACTCGAAACACAACATGCAGGAACATACAATATTGCTATTTGTTATGGAGTAGGAAAAAGGTACAGTCGATTGAAATTACTTTGGAGTGAAACGACTCTTTCATTATTTGGTTTCGTGACACGCTTCATTTTACATATCAGATAAAATAATATGACGATGACACATATGAACATCGGAATGTCAACCGGCTCCGATTGAATCGGCAAAGTTTTTATCGTAATCGGAAACGGCAACTGGTGCCTATAGATCGGTACCGATTCCCATCAATCGGAAAATTAATCGGGTCCGTTTCCCATGATCGGGTTGCCTACCGATATTTGGACGCGTTCCCTAATTTTATTTAAGGTGGTTAAGCCCTCTCCCGATCGCAGAATGGTAAAACTTCTAACATTTGATAACTTGTTTTATAATAAAGTTGTGATACAACGCGCACTCCGATTGGTTGAAAAGGCGTGCTTTATGAGAGTATAAAACTGTGACGCCATTGTCTGCATGCGTGCGCAATAGACCTTTTTACCGATACGGCGGCCATATTGAATTAATTCGATTTAAGGAGTATTATAGGATGCCCAGGGGGTATGAGCACATTTCGTTTGTATTTTTGAGCGATTTTCGGGATATTTTTTCTTAAAGTTTTCTTAGAATAAGATTGTAATGGGAAAAAAGATCCCTGTGCCGTGTTTGGATGTAATAATGATCGCCTTTTTCCCGAGAAATATACAGTGAAAGACCATATTTCTAATACTAAACTAGAAAAAGGCGATCATTATTACATCCAAACACGGCACAAGGATCTTCTCTCTCATTACAGTCTTATTCTAAGAAAACTTTAAGAAAAAATGTCCCGAAAAGCCCGCAAAAATACAAACGAAATGTGCTCATGCTCCCTGGGCATCCTATAATACTCCTTAAATCGAATTAATTCAATATGGCCGCCGTATCGGTAAAATGGTCTATTTAACGGATTCTCTATCATTAAGTAGTCAGGGAGCTCCGATTTTGAACAGTAACCATACTGTTCCATTCACCAATCACTACTACTCACTACATTGAAATAAGAACTGATCACATTTTTGTTGCCATAGGTTGGACAGCTTCTAAACGACTTTCTTACATGGAATCTAACTGGCCTTATTTTGTTGGCTTTGGTCTTCCTCTCGCTGTTTTGACGTCGTTACCTCCTTCATTCATAATCAGGTCAGTATAAAAATTGTTGGGTTCAAATCTCTCCTCTCTCTACCGTGTCACCTCCTAAACGCCCACTAGTTGTGTAGGGGAGAACTTGCGAATATGTCGACCACCCCTCAGTACTGGTGCTTAGTATAGGTGATTTTAAGGTCATTCCTTTGAAACAGACCCTGCCGTGAGATTTTTGTCAATTTTTACTGATTGGTTGTTTATTTTGTGGAAACTTAATTTCTGAAATAAAATTGGGGGGTCCGTCCTCATACTTATTTGGGAGCAGAAGCAACTTGTATCTACGCAATGATCCCTTAAAATAGCAGTGAATATAATCATATTTTTGAGCTTAAGCCTTCGGCAAAAGCCGCCATGTTTGATGTACGCGCGCTAATCTTGCCTAATATTTAGTTTGAGCTAGGACTTTTAAAAAGCGCAGCTTTCGTTAAAATAGTTATGGTTTACTCAAACAAAAAAAATCGTGTAATGCTAGACTAAATGGTGACGGCAACGAGAACAGCCCAAAAAGAATTTGCATGTGCCGCACACTTTTTTATATTGCGATGTTTTACAAAACAACAACGTGAATCTTCCTAGTTACAAGTTTTATGGAGGAGATGTCGTAGGTGCTCCTGTACGCTTTTTCTTTTTCCACTGCCGCTCATGTTCACTTTGGTGGCCGCTAGCATTACTCATTTTCTCACCGCCGCTATTAAATGTTTTTCTTCCAAAGAAATTTGTCTCCATTGTAGCTCTTTCTCTGTTTTCCATGTCAGTGAAAACATTATAATTTAGTGATAGTCGGTCGTCGCTAAACCAACCAATCGATGAATCTTTGCTGGCATCATACAAAAAACACGTACCGGCGTTGGGGCTATAGCCAAGTTACATATGTATTGACTTAAGATATTAAAGAGCTGGTTTAACCAAACTCTAAGATCTACCCGCTCTATGCATTTGGTGGTTTCAAAAGAGGATAAAAAATGAGCCTTAAATTCTCTGTTTCTTTTTGTTTGCAGTGGCTGCGTGTTTGCTATACTCTTCCCCCTCTTTATCATCAGCGGGAATGAAGCGAAAGTAGAAGAAACAAAGTAAGTCTCTTAGTGCTTTTATTAGCCAGGAGCACAGGGTGGAGAGTGGGGTCTTTCCGCTCCACTCAATGCCTCCATCCACCCCTCCCGTGCTTAGTGCCGGTGCCAACAGTAGCTGGATTGGAAAGATTTGATTTAGTTTTGGATGGTAACTGTCTTCTGTCTGTCCCGTGATTTAGCTATCGTGAAAACACAAACTATAGTGATGTAGCTATAGTGAAGACACAAACTATGTGTCTGCTTATTGAGACTGAGAACCGTTAGGCTTTGAGCAAGCTCTTTTAGCTGAGTCGCGAGAAGTGACGCGAGAGCCTCTCGTGAAGTGGACGCGAGTGCGAGAGGTGGAGGGCTTCGCCGCTCGCTCGCGCGATCGCTCGCCACTCTTAATGGAAAGCTTGCTCGCAGGCCAGGAACCGTGACAGACCCAGAAGGGTTTTTCTAAGTTGATATTTCGGCATTTGTTGTACTGCAAGTGCTCATAAACAGACTCCTGATATTTTCTCAAACATCTTTGTCACGGCCTAATGTTTTCTTCTTTCTTTGCAGTCAGATTCCTTTGCGGATATTTTCCTTCGTAATCTGGTTAACTAACAAAGTATTCACAAGGCGACCTGTCACAAGTAGAGCCCAGGACTCTCGCGCCGAATCCATGGAGGGCACGTGATCACTATATCATCCAAGCGGAGAGATTTATCAACTTCGTTCCCAGGGTCCTCTCTCTTTCCTCGAGAGGACCCTGGGAACAAGGCTGAAGATTAGGCCATTACTGAAGGATTTCAGTATTTAAAACTAGAATTCAGTTGTTGGAAGATTAGCAGATGCGTCCATACGGGGAAACAAACGCTCCTGTGGGGAAATAAATATTTCACAACTGGCGTTGTTGGGGATGATATAATATTTTGCATTTTCAAAATGTTTAGAATCGAAGGAGATTTTTTATTATTTTCTTAAAGAACTTTGGCATCACATCTTTGTCCTCTATGAAGTTGTTTTATCTGTAAATAGTGTGGTCCATCATTACTAGTTAAATTTGTAACAAAAAATGATTGTTGTTGGTTTTAATAAAATAAGTTTTAAAGAGATACTTTCCTACTAATATGCAGTTCTTTCGCTCTTAAGCCTTTAGCCATAAAAAAAATAATATTAGTCATCTTGAATAAGGAAAATACATTAGCGTCAGAAAAGATTCAGCTTCGCATCAATAAAGTCAAATTCCCCACTCCAGAAACTATAACGGGAATACCGTGTTGCGCAGATAAGTCGAACACTTGAACTCCGCGTGTAAAAACCGTATCATTATTCCATAAAGGATCTACATTCTACGTTTCGAAGAGATTCAGATCCAAATCAACCGTGTCAAGTCCAATTTACAACGAAGTTCAAGTAGGTCCAAATGAATTCAATACCTTATATCCTATGCACGAGTTAGGTTTTCAAAAACCAAAATATAAGCTTATAATATGTTCAGTGCGTAAACTTCCGAAAAACAAGAAAACGTACCGACTATTTAAAGTTCCACAAGCAGAGGCTTCCAAAACGACAACTTTACAAGCAATCAGGTTTCAAAAAACACTTTGTTATATGGCAGCCACGGAATACGTGCGCAGCGTTAGTGATATACCGTTAACTTTCGGTTATAAGTCCCTCTAGTTATAGGCCCATCTAGCGGTCAACAAAAAAATGCATCCGCCTACAAGCCTGCCGGATATAAGCCCAGCCCCCCGTCTAGCTTGTATTGAAATGAATTAGATTTTTACGACGTTTTGAAGCTTAAAAAACGAGTAAATTCGAAAAGTATTTTGATCAACACTACTATGTAACTTGTTTTTAAACGTTTTTTTCAGTTCCGTTATAAGCCCCCCGGATATAAGCCCCCTCCCCTTTCATAAGTCCTCTTAAAACCCCTCACGAAGTTGTATAAGCCTAGGGGCCCGTTTCTCGAAAGTCCCGATAATTAACGGGCCCGGTAAGCTGTCTCCGTTTCCATTAAAGATCGAGGTTTCAATAGTTTTGCATCTAACATGATAAAACTATCAGTTAACGAAACAAAATGCAGTAGTTTGCTAGCCAGGATCCGCGCTCTTATTCTTTTTATTTCGATGTGAATATTTGATTTCGGACCCGAAAAAGGATCGGGACTTTGGAGAAACGGGCCCCAGGGCTTATAAGCGGAAGTTTACGGTAGGCATAAGTTTTCGGCGCAACGATTTCTGGGATTGTTTGTGTGGACAAGCGTTATTACTATAGTTAATGGCAGAAGCATATAACCCCGATTCGTGGTTATATGCTGCTGTTAATGGTTAACCAATGTCTTGCACCCTATTAGAACATGTTACTTTGTCTCGGGTCCGCGTACGCTTAGATGCAACCGACGGTATATTCCCTAGATTAAGTTACAATAAGGCAAATAATACCTTCCTTAATAGTGTTAGAAAGAACCACGTTGAAGCCTAAGTTAAATTTTCATTAAAAGTTACTGAAAGGGCTAGGGTCACTGTTGAAAGACAGTTGGTAGTGTACCAGGTGGGGGGGGGGAGGGGCCTCAAGTGTCTAAAAACTGGCAGCGACCGTCTACGAAAGGAACAATTAGGGACTTTAAGATCCAACGACGCGACGGCGACAAGAACGTCGCTTAAAAAGTGAATTTACCTTCTTTCAGTCTTTAAAGCGATTATTCCTACCCACTTACTTTGTCAATTGTAGGCGAACCCTCCTGAAGCTGAATTTCAATGGACCAAATTCAAGCTCAGAAAGAGAAATAAAATTTCGTCGTTGCTTGTTTACGTCCTCCACAAAACGCGAAATTAGGCATTTTCACGTCGTAGTCGTGCAAAAACGGGGAAGAAATGTACAAAAAAGTGTGATGCACGTGCGAAGTTGTTGTTTTGCTAATTAAGCCAATTGTTTTTTTGACGTTCTCGTTGTCGTCCGCGTCGCTGGATCTTAAAGTCCCTAATGTCTCGCCGGTGGGGACGTTTCGCAACATGAAAATTACGGGGATGTTCGTAGACCCGCTTACGGGTAGAAATCGCAGATTTTGGTCTCACTTCTGATGCTTGAGACAGAGAGCCAATATTTTTATCCTTAAAAGTATCACTTAGGGTTGGGCATAAACCTCACGAGTGACGTAAAACAATTAATACAAAGAGGCCAGTGAGAAGTCAACACAATAGAGCCCAGGAAAATAATAGCTAGAAAACAAAGAAAAACTGCACAGGTTTTTACACGGAGGATGACCCCCAAATTGGTCTTCATTTGGATTTTAATTCTAATTTTCCGACAAGCATTCTCGTGTCTTCCATAAGGGATTCCCCTGGGAGAGCATGTTTCCTTTAAATATAAGTTAACATGTTCGATTGGTCTATCCCAGCGGGTACTTTTAGGCAGAAACGGTGTATCTCAAGGTCCCTTCACTATTAAGATAAAATTTACCCGTTTTAAGGGTCCTTACGTGTGATTAAGCAAGAAAGAAACAAAAATAATTCACTGCAACAAACGACCACTTACCTTGTACAAAGTAAGTACAAACAATTTACAGTTCCATAGAATGCCAAGCAATGTCGCTGACAAATGTATTTGACATTGACTCTCTCCAACAATTTCCTCTTGTACGGTTTTGTAGAAAATTCTTTATGGATAGCGGCAATTTGGAGATGCTTCAACAGTGAACATCTGTCGCACAATTTGTGCGCATGACCATTGCTCACCGACCTTTGTTATTTTGATTGGTCTTTGAGATGTAAATGAAAACCCGCTTTTGCAGTACATATCTATCAATAACAGCAGAATGCAATACTTCGGAGACATTTTGGATGCTCGTGTTTTATCAAGTGTGAGAGTTCTTGCGCTTCGAGCCGGAATTTTTGAACAGGATAAAATACTGTTGTTCGTTTTTTCAACATTACATTTTCTTGGTCGTACCAGAATTATCATATCTTGGTGAGCATTCGGAAGTCAGCCAAGCGCGGTCACTGCACGCGTGCTGAACAAGAATTCTGTATCATGACAGACTAGAAACAATACAAAACTCCCAAAGCTCAAACTCAGCCAAAACGCTAAGGACCTGTTTACATGGAAGTGGGGGACCCCAGGTAGGTGAGGTAACATGCGGCGGGTCACCCCACCTATCATGTAAACGTGATCAAATTAAAATGAGAGATTATGTAGACAGGCGGGTTACCCCACCTACCTGGGGTCCCCCACCTCCATGTAAACAGGCCCTAAAAATCTTCAATGTTTACTCAAAGTTTGGGCTTGTCGAAGATAATGTCACAGTCTTTCAATGACCATAAAATTCAGAATCCGAGTAGTAAGTTAATCAATTGTGGCCCTGAAAAAATTTGAAGGAAAAAAAACAACGAATTTTTAAGAAAATGCTTTTTTCGTGAGGACTATTAAACGTTGACAAACGTCAAAAAATAGCTAAAACTGTAATTTCTAGATGTTTGCATTGCTCGAAATCGCGCGCATTCACAAGGCCCTAAAGCTTTTTGCTGACTTGCAAGGACCCATCTGTTATAAAGATCCCCAAAATAAAGGGATAAATCTCATAGTTTATCAGATATAATCGTGTAAAGTTTGCTTCTCATTTTCGCATAAATTATGACCTAAATTTGGAAACCGCTGAATTTCTCGCATTGGGTCCTTGCGATTTTTGTGAAACTCTGTTCAACGCAAGGCACTAATACGCACTATATGTAGCCGAAAGATTTTCACGAAAAAATGCCAGCAACAGCAGAATTTCGACTCAGACCCCCAAAGAGGCGTGGCACTATAACCACGTGACATTTACTCCGATAGCCAAAACTTTTATGCTATATTGTAGATTTATCTATATGTTATCCATGCTTTACGTTAGACTTACGATCAAAGTAAAGGTGGGGATACCAGAGAGCTTCAAAGTATGATGGTACCCTAAAAAAATAACTGGGTCGAGTCACGTTAAGTGTGTTCGCTATTGCGAAGCTGTACAGTCCACTCTATCAAATATGGACAGCTGGACGCGTTGTAACAAAATCTAACATGCAAAGTCCTAACAGTCACTGATGACGCGTCACTATCCTGATCTGGGTAGTGTTTCTGACTGGTTGAAACAAATTTCCCACGCGGCACGACCAATCAGAAGCACTACCCACATCTGGGTAGTGACACGTCATCAGTATGGAATTTCTGCGCTCGTTTCTCAGACGTTTTTTGGCGGGAAAACCGTTGGTGGCGTCGCCAAATGTGCGCTCCCTATTTTTGGAGCGTGCGCGGTAACGTGTAGTGAAATTACGTCAAGTCGTTTACGAAGTTTGATTGGTCGGTTATCTTTTCTTGTCGTTCCAAATATGGCGCTTGCAAAAATAAATATTCAATAGCATCGGACAAAGAGTTTCACGTTTCATGAGTTTCTCACTATATTTAACCATTTGAATTAAAAGGATCTTATTCCTCGTGTAATTAACACTGCTTAATCCAATGTCAACATCACGAGAATAATGGAAACGATAAAGATCAAATTTCCTGATTTGTAAACAGATTCTCTTCAACAGTCTCTAATTAAATATATAGAAAAAAATACGGAGAAAATGGACTTTGATAATATAAGGTTAAGGTTCTCTTCGACGTGCCATCACACACTGTTCAAAGGGAAAATTTTAATATCGACTGCATGTAACCAGTAACATAACTAAAAGTGTACAAAAATTTAAAAAATTGGAGGTGAAAAAATAGACCATTATTTTCTGTACAATTGGAACACGTCGAATTTTGGTTCGTTGAATTTGATTTTTCAAATTAAATTTCGTTACACACTTAAGAATAAAAATCAGCGAAAAGGTTTTGCATAACGTTTCTATGTCGATTATCAGTGACAAATTAAAAGTAAAGCTGACCTAATAAGTTTAAGTGAAAAAACCAAACAAAAGTAATACAGTGGAGCCTCATCAATACGGTCACCAATGAGCCAAAAAAATTGGCCTTGTTAACGGGTGATCGTATCAACGACGGTTTTTTTTTACAGGGAAATGTATGGCGGTTTTGCCAGGCGGCCAAAAAAAGTGGCCGTAACAACGAGGTGACCGTAAGGAGGGGTTCCACTGCACATACCCCGAACTAATATAATAGTCTTGTAAGGAAATACTAACTTTTGAGCGTCTATGAGTGAAATCCTATGGTGTGACCATGCAAGTGAAACCTCTTCAGCAGTACTTGCACATGGTAACATTTATTTAGTTTGTAGTGCTAACTTTTGAGTCTGTGAGTAAAATTCTATGATGTTACCATTCAAATGAAACCTCTTCAGCAGTACTTTCACACGGTATTATTTATTTAGTAAGTAAGTTTTGAGTCCGTGAGTGAAATCCTATGGTGTCACCATTTAATGAAATCTCTTTGCCAGTACTTTCACAAGGTGCTATCTGTTTTTGTTAGCATGTTAAAAAATGACATTTTCAAATTTGTACTTTGGCTACTTCTGGGACCGAGAAGGTTAAACAATGAATTTTGCAAGGATGGAGTCTGATAAGCCAAGCTAAAACATGTAATCAGCTGACTTCGATTACTAATAATAATAGATGGCCTGTGAGGCCCAGTTTGGGACCTTTAGGAACTTCAACCCTTTAAGCCCTGAGAGTGATCAGCGTCAAATTTCTCCTTGTAATATCAGTGCTTTATAAAACACAGTGGTCATGAGAATTGAGAACATGATCACACAAGATGAATACAATACAAAATAATAATAATAATAATAATAAATTTTAACAAGGAGAGTCTTTCACCAGGGTGATTTGCAGAGGGGTCCTGGATTTCGCTGATTTTTATTCTTAAATTTTGGTGAAAAAATCTTCAAGTTTACTAACAAACGTCGTCCAAAACTGGACCGTGTCTACCTTAATGTTCTTCATTCCGTTTATAATTGATTCGACAATCAACTTACTAGGTTTTGGTTGCGTGACGATCAACACCACACACCTGCATTGCGTGACATGAAGAATAAAACATTACATAAGGGGTTTAGCGTGACTGATAACGACTGCAACTAGAAAATATTTACATATGGGCTAACTAGTGAATGTAACTGTCCGTCTGGTGCTAGTTTTACGTCCATTACTAACGTGATGATTAACAAATCCAATCGACTGTTGATTCGTAACCCAAGTCAATGCTGAGCCAAACATAAGTTGAAGCTCTGTACACTCGTTAGCGGGCAGCTGAAATACCACTGTCGTGACTGACGCTCGGCCGTCGACAGCTGGCTCCTGACTAACAGGGGCCAAGACAGGTCGCTCTTTGGTGTCCCTGAAACGAATCTCCTTGCTGCCAGCGGCATCGCGCTTGATGCGCCAGCAACTGGGCTGCGGTTTATCCTTTTGGTGAAGAAGGGAATAGGTTGCGAAAGGCCGGCTTCTCATCGATTCCAACTGCATTTCACGATGCTCGATGACTCTTCTACGAGTGTGATATTGTTTGATTTTCCATCCGAACACGCTGACTGACACCACGAGAAAAAACGCAGAGAAGAAGACGGAGAAGAACACGAACAAGTCGATCTGAGACAAGTCCTGTCTGAAGTACACCAGGCCTTTTGTGCCGGGCTTACTTCGGCCCACAAACACCATATAGAACCTAGTGAAAAGAGAATACACTTCTTTAGCAAAGAAAACACCAAAAAAGTTGGTACGGTTATTTAAACTGAAGGAGGTTAAACCCTCTCCCGATAGCAAAATGATAAAACTTCTTACATTTGATAACTTGTTCACGCCACTACGACATTCTCGCTAAAACTCGTAGTAGAATGACGACGGCTATCACGTTTCCCCGCTAAAATGACGCTGGCTCACGCATGAGTAACACTCAGTATTGGGAAAATCTCGTAATCGTAGTCGTCCTCGTCTCAGAATCTCAAGCTCTCTAATAACCGAGCGCTTGACACAGAGAGTTCAGTCAGGACTAGCGGTTCATCGATAAACGGATGCTTTCACGCAACTCTCGAAGTGGAAGAGTTAAAACAAACCAAAATATAAAGGAAATAATTACGGCGAAACTCCCTTAAACAGCTTTTTCGAGAAAGGTTGTCGAAAAAAATGTGCACGCGACAATCCCGAAAGGTAATATGGGATATGTTCCTGACAATGTTGCTGTTGAATCGTCTATTTTTGCTTTCTTTTAGCCACTCGGAAACATAGGTCTATGGCCTCTAGTGCCATTCTTTCAAATTTCTTCGAAGAACAGTGAATTTAAAACCACCCACAATACCTTTCGGGATTGACGCGTGCACTTTTTCAGACAACCGTTCTCGAAATAGCTGTATAAGCCATATAATATGGGCATGTGCCGCCACAAAGGGTGTGGTTTTCGCCCCGTTTTTGTCTAAAAACGGGTATAAACTTTTATCATTTTGGTCTGGAATCGGGTAGGGTTTTTTGAGGTAACTACGGGAGTGTATGATCGTATTTGTAGATTCAGTCCTAAGTGAATAAGAAAGAAAGAGTGATATGCGAATTCAAAACGGATTTTAAGAAAGCTTTTGTTGGCGTTCTAATCTACATAATGACATAATTTCCTCCTATGTAAACATATACGTCGCAATTTGTGAGCTTCTCCAGGTCTGAAAACGGATAAGGATTTTGCTGGCCAGGTCTGAAAAAAGGTGTGGAAAATCAGATGACATGTTTTGGTCTGAAACAGGATCAGGATTTGGGGACCCTAAACCTAATCGGGCGGCACACCCCCACCAAGAATTCCCCGGAGTAGTCCCCCCGGGAGGAAATCACATAGTGTGCTAGCTAACCTGTCGTCTTTAAGAAAATGCTGACTGTGTGGAAAAGTCAGTACCAGACGCTTGCGGACCTGGCGTACAATAAGCGCTTGGTGTCTTTCATTATAGGTGATGAATGTGTTAAGGCGCTTGTCTGATGCGGTTACTGTGTCAACTCCATCTTCTTGACCGCTGGTGTCGTCTACGCTTCTTCTTTTTCTTTTGCTAATAGAAAAAGTGACAGACTGGGAAATTAATTCCAAACCTTTAACATTATCGCAAACTGGCTATGCGGAATAATCTAAGGCACCTGACTCCTACTTATAAACCTCAAATAAAATCGAGATCAATAACGGAATTTACAGAGTTATCGATCATCATCGAGATCACCATCACCATCATCTTCAATGACAGTAGGGTATTACGCGAGACGCGTGGACACTAGACGCGAGAAACAAGAGCGTCTGCCTGATGCCGCGCTTCTCACTGCTTACCACACCATCAACTTTGAAGATAAGTCAGTACACTAGCGGTTACAAATTGTAAAATGTCACCTGAGAAGCGATAAACTGACATACATATTTTGCTAATTATGAACCCTTTTTTGGGTCAATTAATATTTGTGGGATAATGGACTACAAAGGAGTCCTCCAATCACCAGTTTTTGTGATTTGGGTCTTTATTGACCAGTTTACAGTCATACGCTCTTTGAGCGCGCTTCAATGTCCCAAACTTAGCGCAATTGGTGTTACGATTTGAAATTAACTTATGATGACACCGCTGGACATACTTACTAAACATTATCCAAACAAACATAAATCCAGATTGTAACGGCGAAATAGCGACACGACTCCCAAAGAGTCTCAGGAGACCCAAAGATTTGTGTTCTGCTCACCTGTGGCCTCGTAGTGGTAAGAGACTTTTTACACTCTTTTTTTCCATCATTTACGTTGACTGATTGAGAGGAACTAAGTTGCACACTTAACAGGGGCACCCAACGTCAATTTTCGGAAAATATCTGTTCGGAAGACGATTGGAGATCTAGAATTTTCGGAACATTTATTGTCAAATTCCTTGCTTGCCTGCCTCTCCTAAGATTTTCGAACATCTAAACAATGGTATAATTGCCCATTTTTAACGGATTTTTACCCTAAAAAGATGCCCTAGAATTTTCCGGAATTTTCGAAAAGGCAAGTTTTGATCCCTATAATTTTCGGACCACTAGACTTTCAGCTAGGAAATCCGAACAGATGAAAAATTTTTAGGGGATAAAAATATTCCTATATCTACCGTTTAAATACTAAAATACGTTCAACAATGCTATGTTTAAGTGGTTTTGAACTATGTTCTTGTTGGGTGCCCCTGAAAGTTGCACACTTAAGAGAAATATCTACTTATCAAAGCTAAACTTACCCCGCAAAGGGTTTAATTAACACTTCATGATGCCCACTGGTTTGGTTATATTCCACAGTAAAAACATCGTTTTCGTTTGTAACATACACGTCCACTTCACCCGTGAACACGTCAACTGTTAAGCGAATATCCACATTGGTAAATCTTGGGTATATACCATAGAAGATGCTTTGTCCATATGGGAGTGCTTGAATGTTGCGATCGTCGCCAGTTTGCTGACCAATGACAAACTCTTGCATTACATTGATTTTTCTGTAGCACTGTTGGCTGTTCACTGGACTTCCCATGAAGTTTTCCTTACATTTTGAACACTATTGACATTAAAACCATTGTATTAGCTTGATAACTAACTTAACGTGGCACAGTATGTCGCGTTAACTAAATGTAACTGTTTTGAAAACCGGCGAGACAAAGTCTTGCACGTTGTGTTACCTAGATGCATCGAAAACCAGCGTGACAGTTGTGCCTAACACTGCGTGACAACCCATTAGCATGAACTTGCAGGAATTCCGATGAACTTCTTCGTAAATATTTTGAGCACTATTGAAATTTTAAGATAAACTGAAACCCTTTAATTAGATTGATAACTGATCTAGCGTGTCACAGTATGGTCTCTTGGATGCTCGTATAGAAAAACGGCGTGACAGAAGCTGTATGCTTTTGACGGCAAGTCGGCAGGCGAACGTAAGGAAAAGCCAAACTCTTACCCAGTCGCTATATGTGTTTTTTTGCAGTGAGGGAAGATTGGGGTTGAGTTGAGGTGCGCGGGGAGTCATGGGAAGGGAAGAGGAGAAAACAGCGATCATATTGTCCCTTCCCATGACGCTATGCGCGCCTCGGATCATTATACGTTTCTGGGAAACTGCCCACCTACCCCTCCCTTAAGCCAACATTTTGCCCTACGTGAGAAGTAAGTGTTAAGGTTGGCTTAGGGGAGGGGTAGGTGGGCAATTTCTTGTACTCCTCTCACCCCAAAATACACATAACTAGCCACAAGGTATGAGTCTGTGGTAAAGCTCATACAGTTTTGCCGCTCATATGTTACCTAGTATGCAGCGTTCTATGCAAGCAACCCTCTAGTGAAACGGACGCACGTACCTGCCGTTTGTAGCAGTCTGCCGCGGTAGGAGGACAATCTTCCTCAGTGTTGTTTCCGCACTTGCAGGTACCTTCTCTCTTGTCACACGTATCGGCGTGTCCATTACACAAGCAACTAAAGTGAAACAAGGATTGTTAGAAGGAAAATTGGCGCTGAACAACACCTTTATCATAACCTGCAATCAGGCGGTCTTTCTACCTTTTTTGTTTGGAAGTCTTAAAAAAAAAAACGCCTGATCGCAGGTTACCTTGATCATTGTTTGATAATAGTAATAGTTATTAATAGTAAGCAATGGCAGAGATATCAAATTACATAATTGGGTATTTTAAAGGTAGAGATAGTATGCGGTTATAAGGTTATTTTTTAAAAAAATTCAGAGGGAATAGTTTCCAAAAAAGAATAGAAACAAAATTGACCAACAGCAGAGTAGCCTGCTTCACAGCCGTTCTTTCTGTCGTCACGCAACGCTCCTCCCCAAATTGAGCACCGGAAGTCACGTTCATTTTTGCCACGCGGTTTCGTTGGCTCACTTGGCTTTGCACTGTCTTTGCTAAACGTGTCTTTTATTTTCTTGAAGACAACAGGAAAACTTGCCTACCTTGTGCATGAATCGTCATGTTCGAAGAAGCCGTAAACACAAGAGCCGCACCTAAATCCATTACTGTTATTCTTGCATAAACATTCCTCCTCCCGTTCAATCTTGAAAGGACCTTGTTTTAACCACTTTTTGACCTGTGTACATATGAACCACGTCAAACTGGCACCACCATTTTGAACCGTGAATAAAGATAACCAAGCAATTTCGCTTAAAATCCTTTACTGGCGAGAATGGGTCTGTGTGGTATCAAATTGCACTACGGGACTTAAGGCGATAAACACTGACCCAGTCCCCACCCAACTTTGCAAGAGCCAATAAACGAGGCAAAGGCGTCCCAAGATCGTCCCATGGTGCAATTCGACACAACACCGACCCAGTCTCTCTCACGGTCAACCGCAAATGCTTGTAACTGGCGCTACGCTAATAACGTAAATTGCAGCTTTTACCCGCCCCCCCCCCCCCCCCCCCCCCACCACCCGCGCTGCAGTTTAGGCCCATCTATCCGTAAACAAATAAGCTCCCCGGATATAAGCCCAGCCCCGTGTCTAGCTTGTTTTGATATGAATTTGATTTATTATGACGTTTTGAAGCTTAATTTAAGACCAGTACTTGCAAAACTTATTTTGATCAGCACTGGTAAAGCTTAATTCGAAGCGCTTTTTCTATGCCGGTTAAAAGCCTCCTCGGATATAAGCCCTCTTAAAACCCCTTACGAAGATGTATAAACGGCAGTTAATGAAGCAGCCTATAGAAGTGTTGCAATCGTTCGTTTTTACGGACCACTTTATTTTTAGAAACATTTTAGGGCACTTTTTCCCGCGAAAATAGAATCTCCACCATGTCTATGAGCGCATTCGAAGTATAAGATATCAAAAAGGGAAACTAAACGTTATTAAAAGGCAAAAAATATCTCAGTATGAGTTTTTTAGGTCTGTCGGGTTTGCTGACTGGTTTGTGGAATTTAAAAGATATTCAAAATTCGCGCCAAAACCGTTCTAAAAATAAACCGTTCCATGAAAACGCCGTGACACGAGCGCATGGAAGTTGCTCGCTTCTGCTCATGGGCTCCTGTTTAGAAACTACTGTGTACCTCAGCAGGTTCAAAGGACAAGTTTCTTGTCTGACCATACTCAAGTTGAGATACGTTCATACAGACGTCTGCTCTGTGATTGCACTCATTATAACACGATACACAGCTGCCGTTGTCTGTGGCATCACCAACGTACAATGGTTCACAGAACTCGCAGCTTCTCCCCTGCATAAATAAATTATTGCAGTTGAACAACTTTATCTTTTTGGTATACTTTATTCGGCAAAGAGAAAGGTCTTTGCATCCACTCCCTGGAATAACAAAACTGACGAGTGTGTGACATGATATGATATAAGAAATGGACCCAACCAGAAATAACAGAATAGTTGCGTGACAGAACATAGCACGTTGCGGTTCGTGATCTACAAGTAAAGTGTTGCGTGACGGCGCTTACCACAGTGTGATTACGGCAGTCGTGACATACATCCAGATGAGTTTCATTGGCACACTGACCATGCTCATTACACAGACACTTGACAGAACAGTTGACAGATGTCCAACCAAAGTTACAGGCGCAGACCTCGGGCCTTACGCATCGCCCATGGTCACATCCCTTGGAGCAGACTGGCACACATGTACTGAAAGAAAACGAAAAATGTCGTGTAAGGTTAGTTCAAAATGTCAGGCGTCTCCACCCACTAAACCCCAGTGTCAGTCTCCTCTCTCCTGGCTTCTAACTCCAATATCAAAAGACAAATTCTCGAAACTGATCTCCATACATTTCCTTAAAGAATTAGTTGGAAGAATTTGGTAACAGATCAAAGTATTTTTCCTTGGAGATCATTTTATTAATTTTCCTAACCTTTTCTCTTGATGATGTATGTATATTGTAAGGAGAAAATTGATGTTGGTCACTCTTGGAGCTTAAATATGTGCAATACGACTAAAAGTACATCCCTCCTACTACTAGTAGTCCTCATTTTTCCTCAGGGATAGCAGAGCGAGCGAGACGCGAGCGCGCGTGGAAATCACCCCACGCGAGAAAGGCGAGACGCGGCGGGGAACCCTAACCCTAACCATTTTTGTCTCTCTCCACCGCGTCTTGCCTTTCTCGCTTGGGGTGATTTTTACGCGCGCTCGCGTTTCGCTGAGGACTACTCGTAGTCTACTCCTAAATAGAACACCTACAACCTTGGACAAAAATTAAGATCATACTCCTTTCCTGTTCCAAAGATGAGAAAAATAATCATTTCGGTCTTGGCGTGGAATCATTCTTAATTGCCATTTATTTTGTTCAAGATTGTTATCTTGATCTCTTAATATGTGCATTTGATTATTTTTTTATAGAAAATGCGCAATATAAATATTAAATATTTTTATTAAATATTACTCTTCGACAAAATAAATGGAAATTAAGACGACTGTTCCCCTTCCTCCACCCATTTCTTAAAGGGAAACGCTGGTTTAAAACCTCATCTTCCCAGGGTTCTCTCCTTGCTTTGAAGCGAGGCAGGTGGAGTCTTTGAAACTAAAGGTGTGTCTTACCCAAGATGCACTAGAGTGGCGCGCGGGGACGAGGTAGTGGTACAACCTTACAGAGTGCAATTGGAAATGTTCACACTTAATGCTCGGACAAGATGCCCGAGTAAGGTACTCCCTGAGCACTAATGTGATCACACCATTTTTTAAATAGCCAAATAAATTCGGGCACGGTGCCTGTTCCCGAGTAAAAGGTCAAGAAGTTGTCACTCAGGCACTAAAATGAGCATATGACCGGATGCCTGTTTGAGCACGTTTTCTGTTAGTACTATGGCGATCCACTGCTTGCATACACATCACTCCATGCTACGCTCAAGTTTCAAAATGGCGTCTAAAAGGGCGAAATGCAGAAAATGTATACACACTTACATATCGGGTACCCCGTGAGTGAACGCAACACTACTACATTTAGGGCCGGTACCTATGAACCATCGCTTGGACACAAAGTGTGTACATTACCTATGTTTGCTGTAGATTTCACTTACCCTGGTTCGGCAGTGTCGTCATATCCCTGTTTACAGACACACCTGTAGGCCTCTGGTGTGTCTACACACAGTTGTGTTATCGGATCACAATTGTTCCGTCCATTCTCACACTCGTTTTCCAGTGGACATAAAGTGGAAGCCCAGACATGAGTCACATTAGAGGCCACACTGTTTGCGGTACATGTGTTGTTGAGGGGACCTTCGAGAGAAAAAAACGCAAAAAGACGCTTGAGTTTAATTAACAGGACTTCTCTGTACGTGCCTTTGTAAGAGCCCTTATCAATGGCCACAACCGACCGGGCAGACAGTTCAGTTGTTCAACCCCTTAAGCCCTACGGGTGATCAGCATCAAATTTCTCCTTGTAATATTAATGCTTTGTAAAACAGAGTGGTCATGAGAATTACGGACATGATCACACGAGATGAATTTGCTTGATATTTTATCAACTTCTCTCCACTACTTCTGTAGGAAATGAATAGAGGGCAACAAAGGAGAACTCAAATTTTGATCTTAGGGTTAAAGGTTTAAGGAGCTCTGTCTCACGACGCTTACCAAAATTCTTGCCTAGTCCCTCGCCCTCATTATTGTGCGGAGCCTATGCGTTTCCGGTCACGTGGTCCGGGAAAGTTTCGAATACGTTTCTCGGATACGTCACTGAAATGCATTGACCGAGAAGGCCTGGAAAGACGCCGTACAGCGACTAGGCAACCAGAATTCAAAGAGCGGGAACTGCCATCAAATTGAGTGAAACAAATAATCACTCAAAGAATTAAAAGAAGTTATAAATAACACAGGAAATAGAAAAGGAAGCAAGGATGCACAAACTTGAAGAAGATTGAAACGGATTGCAATGGGGCGTTTTCACATGACGTCACGGCGGCCATATTGGTGTTCCAAACAAATCCTGTAAGAGTTGGACTCTTTTCTTATGTAAAAACTTTCTTTTGTTCCCATAAATTTGCATAGATGCTGGTCACGTGAGTGAATACGCTCTATAGTGGTTTTTTTAAAACCTGTTGGCCTAACAGTTTTTCGAAGTTCACTTTTGTTGTTTTTAAGGTTTGAAATAACACTTGGAAGACATATTTGTTTCACACAAAGCCATGGTTTTGTCGTTCACAAGAAACTTCTCAAATGTCATAGTGAATAAGGAGGCGTCATTATAAACAAAATATATCATCCAGCCGTGATACGGCCACTTTAAGAAAATTCCTCTATTAATCAGTATAGTCGAGCCAGATCACCCATTCCTATAAACAGTAGTTACGCACGGAATAGGCCACTTCCGAGTTCCATAAACCCTCACTTTCAAAATGAGGCCAAGTGCACAACCTTTCTTGTGAAAATGAGTTTTATTTGGATGAGAATGAAAACTCCTCTCTATATCAAAGGCTGAGCACTTAACCTCGTTTTGATACAGAGGCACGGGGGAACTCGGAAATGGCCAATTGATAGGTTCTTGGGGTAAACTCTCGAAGAAAGCCTATTTCATTGTCAAAATAATCGACCTGGCAAGCAAGTTGAAAGTTGCTTGATAAGGGGATAAAGGGACGGTTAAATTTTTCTGGCACACACCATCTGATTGTAAAAAGAGTTTCAACAAAGAGGTTCTCCTGACCTTGTATTCCTCCTTCAAAACACTGCCCTATTCCCGCGATTCCCTGTTCAGCGCACCAGCCGCAATTATAACTATTCAGACAGTAAGAACACTGCTGATGAGCACCACAGCTGCCCATGCACTCAGATGTTGATCCCCGAATAACCCGCCCGCATTGCCCTGCCAGACAGATGATCGGCAGGTAAGATGGGGAGAAACACTGGCCGAGAGTTTCACTCCACGCGCATTCTTTCCAGCCACCATCTCCACCTGAAATACATAAAAACAAAAGGAGACACTTAAGCTTAAGTAGCGCGCGGAATTGTTCGCGCAAGGAAAGTTTCGGAAGAGGAGCTGTAAAGCCGAGCGGCGAATGTGAAGGAGACGTTTTGGCGCTCTTTTCTCAAGGCAAACCCGCGAAAATAACGCTTCGTCGCCAAAAATCTCACACGCGCAAAAACAATTCCGCCAGCTACGCAGGCTGGAGACACTTAAGTACTCATTCATGAACGGATTTTGTAATGATAGCAAGTGGCAAGACTAAAATGATGAAGAGAGACAATTAAGTCGACAAGGTTTTTCACGATTAACAAGGGCAATACTAAGATAAGCATCTCCAACGATGACTGAGGCCCGATCTCCCTACTGTAGTCGAGTTAGCTTGCAACAGTTTTGTTAACACGCATAGGTTTTTTCTCCAATATTTAGTTATCTTGTTGCCCTTATATTATATTTTTCACTTTCGCTGTCAAGTATATTATGTGAGCATGAGCAATTTACATTAATAGCTAAGTTTGTCGTTATTCGATCACATTTTATTATTTTAGATATATTTTTTATTATAGATGTTTTGCTTTTCGTTTAACGATCGCACCCTGCCTGATTAGCTTCCTAAAGGCATTTATCTTAATTAAAGATTAAACAGTTCTTTGCTCATAGTTATAGCCTGAGAAAAGAGCCAACACTTCGTGACGTCACCACTGTTTTACCCGTGAAATAGATGACGTCCAAGGAACGAACGCAGACGCAGAAATTTCATGACATGTTACTACCCAAATCTGGGTAATGTTTCTGATTGGTTGGAGCAAATTTCCCTGAGGCACGACCAATCAGAAGCACTGACCAGATCTGGGTAGTGACGGGTCATCAGGATCGAATTCCTTCGCTCGTTCCGCAAAGGCGTCGTGAAATGTCGACAGTTTTTTCAGGCGAGCGTGAGCGACAGAAAACGGACCATTAGAAGCGAGGCAAGTTATGCAGCTTGTGTGAACTGAACACGACTGCGGACAATCGCGAGGGGAAGTCGTAACTCTCATTACGTTCAGATATTTTTCGTCTATCTGGCTTGTGTAACAGTTCCAGCTGTAAGGATAGTTACTGAGTGACAGGCCTAATTGTCTCTCGTGAAGCCATTTTAACTGAGTAGTCCACATACACTGGCCTCGATCAAGGCATGTGGTACAAGACGATGCCTCGCAGCTGTTGAAAGAGCAGAGATCTACTTGCTGTTGCTTTTGTTGGGTCTGTACGCAGGGATGTGCTTCATGGCAGGTCTCGGTTGATTTGATGCATTTTCCACCCGTTGGGCAATGAGTACACCACAAACAACTCGGCTTGGTGTTCGGGTGAGGGTAGGAAGCCAGGCACGTGCTGCAGGAGTAGAATGTATCACAAGAACGAGTGGAAGGTGCAGAACAGTTTGTGCCATCGTGAAAAATAACCTACGATAGAAAAAAGAAACTTAATTTCAATGAGCGATTTCGAATTTGAAGTGTTTACGCAAAAACCGAATCAAAACAACTGGAAAGAAAGAGCTGTTGACATTTTAGTATAGGTAATCCCATGATTTGAGTGCATGACTTCCATGTGGCTGTCACCGTTTTTGTTCTTTTTTTTACCTCAGCGTAGCATGTTTTAAGTAGCAAGTTTAGTTTCTGGCTCACTTTCCTCGACAGTATTGTTCTCTTAGCACTACATTTCAATAAATTTAGCCAGAAAGACGTACCTTTTCCTTTGTTCGGGTTTTTGGAATATTTTTTAACTGTTCTATTGTGGTTTTGCATGCAAAATCAAATCGCTAATTGCTGAAAACCACGGCCACTTTCTTAAATTTTGTTGTTAACACAGCTCTAATCTCATTGGTTCTTGTTGGTTTCTTTTGTGTTTTCAGCCAATCAGAAACCATTTGTAATTTGTAATAGCATTACAGGAGAACTGCACTCCTTTCTTTGCCAATTTTTTCGTGTATATTATTAGTCTCTGAAAGTGATCAAAACACTTCAACTTTACTTTAAAAAAAAAGTTGAAACATATAAAGTCGTGTCAAGTGAAATTACTGCTTTCTAGGTTTCAGTTGAAAGGCACAGCACAGGATTTACCTCCAGCCTCGTAAGTTAAAAGCGCCAAGTTCAATATAATAAAATTTTAAAAATAGAATTTCGCCCATAGAGGTAAAAAGTTCGAACTACAAGTAAGATCGAGTGAAAGTACTGCTGAAGAGATTTCATTTGAATGGTCACATCATAGAATTTCGTCCATAGACTCAAAAGTTAGAAATACGGACTAAATTACATGTTAGTAAAATCCAACTAGTGCTCTATTAACAATGCTGCGTTCTGATTGGTTGAGCTACTACTAGGCTATATGTTATAGCCCACTAGTAGCGAAAAGCGCCGGCTTTGAAAACCAAAACAATGGCGGCTGAATAGCGTTTTGCTAGGTAAAGTTGTTTTGTCTCGATATTTTTGACCAACTAGTTGGATTTTACTAAAACAGTTATTCCTCTCGCCCTCCTGGCCTCTGAGTCAATAGCCTATTCGGCCTTCTGCCTCCTGGGCTATTGACTCAGAGCTCATTCGGGCTCGAGGAATAATTGTTAAGTACCATGCGAAAGTACTTCTGAAGACGTTTTATTTACGCGGTCACAACACAGTTTTATTATCCAGTCCCGTTAAGACTACATTATTCTCATCTTTATTTTAAATACCTGAGTTACATTAGGTTCAGCGTGACAGACTGCAGGCACTGGAGAAGTCACCGAGTAACATGCGCTCTGATTGGTCGCAACAGTAAGATTCCCCTCTTGCGTGACATTGTGGACTTCACACCAGCTACAGATATTGACAGCGTTACACTTCTCTTTAGAAGTCAAAGCTTGGCACAGGTCTGAAGGAAGGGTAAGACGGAACAACGTTCCATGCGCTTCACCGTTAAATCCTCCAAAAATGAAGATCCTGTCTGCAACTTTGGCGGCTGCGGCAGACACAAGGGCTTCTGGCTTACTTCCAAGCAAACTATTGTCTACAGGGAACGACCAAAAAACACAGCTTAAAAACCATGGTCCTAACCAAAATTGAAAATACTACAGTGAAGGTAGACGCCCCAGTTTTTGCGTTTCTGTTGGACGTTAAACGTTTTCCTTTGGAAAACGAGCTTTTAACATAGAACTTGTGATTTTTCAGTCGGTGAAACAGACGGCTCGCAAGAAAAAATCCGTGTGTTCCAGAAAGTATCAGTTCTCCATATAGAACGAGAATGGAAAGTAGAAAAGCTCAAGTACAAGAAGTTTTAGGTCATGCAGCCGAGGATCAGAAACAAATCCGATCTTACAGTTGGTAAATAACCATCCATGATCAGTCCACACGAAGTTGTATGGTCGTGATTTATTTTAATATACAGTTTATCATTTATTAGTGAAGAATAATTAGGGGAGGGGAGGGAAAGGGCTTATTAAGATTCTTCCTCTGAAAAGGGGGCGCTTATTAGAGGGAGGGGGCTTGTTTGAGAGGGGGGCTTAATAGAGGATTTACGGTATCTGCCAATGCGCACTGATAGAAATGTAATTGTGAATTTTACAAATAGTCCCAAAATTTGCTCGTGTGGACCGAGTCGAACGAAGGTGAGGTTTCGATCAAGTTTTCAAATAAATTTACATATTTTTGGTGACAGTACATTTTTTTTTGGATGTGCCCAGAGCTGGCTTTTGGACTAAAGCGGTTCAATTAAATAAGATATTTTGTTTACCTGGAAGAAGATACCAGTAGTTGCACTTAATGTTGTACAACAACAGTTCAGATGAAAACAGCTGATCGGTTGTGTTACTTCGACCGCCATAGACGATCATGACGCCATCCAGGATGGCCGCCGAGTGGAAGTATTTTGGTCGAGGCTGAGAAAATGAGAGGCAAAATGTCAGACAAAGCCTTGAACACCACAAAATTCTGTGGCTCAGTGGGTAGAGCATCTAGAGAGTGCAGGGACGTGTATCGCTACTGTCTTTAAAAAACTCTGAAAAAATTATCTCATTGATAGCCTTCCTGTTGCTTAAGTTACATGTTTTCTGTACACTCTGCACTCAAGGAATTAATTAGTAATCTAGCTTAAGGACGACTATCAATATAAGCTCCCAGCTTTTTTAGGCTTCCTTGTCACATTAACTTATACTTTATTAACACTTTTTGTAACTTTTTAATGTTTTGTTATGTGAGTGACTCAAAAACAAACAAATAAATAAATAGATACAGCTGTTTCAGCTAAGTAAGCATGCTTTGTAGTTGAATGGCATGGTTATCTTTGTTTCCGAGCGGTTTTTCAAATATATAAGGGTCTCAAAACATTTTAAGGCTTGGATTTCCTTGGACTTCCTTGATTTGGTCCTCATCAAATTTGTGATTCGCCCCAAATGGTAAACACTGAAATAGTAAACTCCTCAGTTACCCAGCAAGGTGACTTGGAAGAAGAAAAGAGGGGCCCTGGGCCCACCTGGCGTGTGTTGGATAATCCTCATGGAGCAAGCAAAATAATCAACAGCAAACTCTCCCCACATAGGGCGTTGCCTCCAAGACATCACCCATGCTCCTCTTTAAGTATCTCGACAAGACTTAAACATCCAGGGGAGGCATTCAATAGAAGTTTGGGTGTGGGTGTGTCGCCGAGGCCTTCAAACCCTGAGCGTGCTTAAGACAAAAATCCGTTAATTCACTACCCTGCTTAAGAAAAGCGATCTCTTTTTTGACCCTGAAAATGTTTACCCTGTTCCTGAAAAACATATTTTCAGCGGCACATACCCGTTTTGGCCAAATAGGGAACAGGCTCCCGGCCTGAAACGTTAAAACTACAAAACATATCTTTATGTCTCTGGGAGTTAAAGCCTAACGAAAAAAAAAATCAAAAACTTACTTCATTAAAAGGTGACGGCTGTAAAATACTCCATTTTCTGGAATTAAGGTCTAAAGAATATAGAGCATCTGAAGGCATCACGGAGTCGATCCTGAACCGATATCCGCCAAACACTAACATCACTGATTTGGTTGCATAATACACAGTTGTGTGTCCATACAAACCTGTAACATTGAAAGCAAAATAAAATTAAAAACTGCAAAACTGGTGTTATGAGGTTTGGTTACATAACGTACGATTTCTCGCAACTAGGTCGTAAAATTTTGCTGACACAGATTGCAAGAGAAACTGCCCCTCAAAATTAAACACCTTCGCCCACCTTGGCTTGTTTGCGCGCCTGACCAAAACCACCACGCTATGCAGGCTAATAGATGAAGGAGCATGGCCGAGCAGTTAGAGCGCTAGCCTCGGTTGTCAAACATTGGACAGCGGTATCCACCGGATAAATCAGATAGGTACTTCATGTATGGGGACATATATTGTACCGACTTTACCTATTTCACTTCACTATCCAGCGGAGAATTATTAGGAAAACCAATTGCGTTATCCACTGGATAAATATTTATCCGGTGGATAGCGTTTTCCACCTTTTGAACAACTGGACCATGTAATCCAGGGCTTATCCACTGATTATCCGGTGGATATCACTATCCAGTATTTAAACAACTAAGACCTGAATCAAAAGCACAGCACTTCAAAGTCAAAGCAATCAACCGCTCCACTCCAGTATCACTTTTCTTCAGATTAAGAGAAGGGAGTGTCCGAGCGTGCGAGAGTAGAGCTACAAAGCCGCAAGACGCGAAAAACGAGGGTGGCAGCCAGTCACGCGCATGGTCATGTTCGTGTCTCGCGCATTTCGCTCGACAGACTAAGAAAAAAGAGACTGTTGTTACTCTAAAGTTCAAGGTATGTTCCGGGGAGAACTCCCAGATGAAACGGATGGAGATGCTCGTCGGAAATTTTGAATTAAAGCCCTAAGGGAGACCAATCTGGGCGTTGCCCAATCTTTTTTTGACCTCTAAAAGAGACCATTTTAAAACACAGACAAATAACAAATACAGCGACTTTTAATGATCGTAAAGACATTGTCATCGAATACTTTTACCCTCACCATCAAATATAAAGGCGTTTTGCCCAGAACACCCTAAGTGAGACCAAAATCGGAAATTTACACCCCTAAGCGAGACGACGAGCATTCCCGCCCCTTTCATAAGGGAGTTCCCTCCAGGGGGTGTTTTACCCTTTGGATAGGGTCCAGTTGTCTGCACTTGACTCCACTGCTTGGTCAAGACATTGTACTTGTACGTTTTATCGTTAAATCCCGACCCTTTGTCATATCCACCGATCAAAACCATTTCATCTTCCGCCAGAGTGGCAGTGTGGCCTGCGACTTTTGGAGGTTGGCTGGTCATCTGGCAAAAAAAGACCACAGTAAAACTGAAAAACATGTCTTGCAAACACTCGCACGAAACTGGGTGTGTCACACTAAGTCAACTCCTGCCAAGCGAAAACAAAAGAAACATGGCAAGTTCGCATTCAAATTCGACAATCTGAAACCGGTCTTTGATCCGTAGGGGAAGCGCCAAGTTAATTGTGGTTTTCTTTCGATGTGGCATGAATTAATAGGTAGATTTCAGGGAAAAAGCACAGCAAACGTTTAATACTATGTGCAAGTTCTTCTCAAACAAGGGAGCGTTTGACTATTGCAATAAAAGCACCTCAAAATTTCCCTTGATCATTTGATAACTCCATGAAGAAATTTTGTTTACCTTAGTCCATCGAAGCGTTGTCACATTAAACTGCCAAAGGCATTGATCAGCACCATTTTTAGTTTGCCCTCCATAAACCAGCATAGAGTCCTGTAAAACAAAAGTACATTAATACAGTTCCATAAAATCATAACAAGCTTCAAGTTATGATACTACCGTCCTGCAGAACTTTGCTAATCATTGTGCACTAATCACCTGCTACAGCTACGGTTGATTTTAATATTTAGTGAAAATATTTCTTCCTCCCTGTTGGGCTTAAATCTCGTGGATAATTCTTCAAAACGCGATCGCGCTGACCATATTTTTAAGTCAATCGTTCCACAAAAGCAAACTTATTGGACAAAAGACGTCACTCGTCAAATAATCGTGTTCGTCAGAACGCTCCCTTATCTGGTGTTCCCGTGGCACTAAGGCAGAAATTTTCAAGCTATCACGGGCGACTGCAAATTAGCCGCCCCTAGTGAATTTAATCAGGGGGCACCTCAGCCGGGAAACTGGACTCCTTTGGACTCGATTTCGTTTACGTAGTTTTTCTGAAGGTGACGAAGGCGCATCCGTAATCAATGATTACCTCTAGTTATAAGCTACTGGGCGAATGACGTCATGCAATGGCAGTAATAACCCTTGAAAAAACTGCCTCGAGGATTTCGAATGCTTACCAAAGACGAAATTTACAATTACTGGTTAAAACAATAACAGTGTTGTTATAGGGACTCACTATTAGATTCTAAAACAAGGACGACTATGAGTAGGAGATTTTCCCAAAACTAAGTCGTGCTCACGAGTGAACCTGCGTCATTTGCCAAGAAAACGCTATAACCGTCGTCATTCTACTACGGGTTTTAGCTCCTGTAGTGGCGGAAACAAGTTAACAAATGTTAAAAGTTTTTTCTCTCTGCGATCGGGAGAGGGCTTCAACTTGTCCAATAAAGATAACAGTGCTTCTTTTCTGGTGAAAAAAAGTTCAATGAAACTTTCCGAGTTATCATCTTTTCGACGATGCGCGAAGAACAAAATTAAATCCAATCGCGTACTCGTAGTCATTCTCGTCCTCCAATCACAATATTAGGGAGTTTAAGATGCCACTACGGCGACGGCAACGAGAACGTCACAAAGCAATTGGTTAAAATTAGCAAAACAACAACTCTGCACGTGCATCACGCTTTTTTGTACATTTCTTTGCCGTCACTGCACGACTACGACGTGAATTGCCTAATTTCACGTTTTATCGACAACATGAACATTAGAAGACGAATATCTCTTACTCTTTTTAAACTTGGATATTTTTCTTAAGAATTTAACTCTAGGAGAGTTCGCCTACATAAAAAAAAGTGACCGAGTTGGGATAATCGCCCTTAAGTTTCATAGATGGAGAAGTCACTTTTTAAGCGACATTTTTGTCGCCGTCGCCGTCGCCATCGTGGTATCTTAAACTCCCTAATGTCTGTATTAGCAGCGGGTCTTACGGTGATGTTACACGGGACGATTCGCTACGACGATTTTTAGCGCAACACAGCATTACAACATTGCTGCGACATTGTTTCGAATGGTTACAACATTGTTCCATCATTGCCACGCAATATTGCTCTGAAAATCGACGTTGCGAATCGTCTCGTGTAACATCACTTTTACAGCAAGGAGCCTTAGTGTGACCTCCTTTAATTAACTCACATTCTTTCAGGCAGACATTAAGCAATCAGAAGTCGAGGACAGTTTTCAGCTGGCTTCTGATTGGATTAAATCTGCACGAAAGAATGTTAATAAATCAAAAGCGGTCACAATTTTAGGCTCTTTGCTGTAAATCACTATTTTTGGAGAATTTGAACGTACAGCACACAGCAGTCTTTCAGTTACTCACCCCATGAAACACAGCAGAATGAAGGTATCTGGCAGACGGGACATTACTTGGTAACTGATTAATCTCTATAACAGACCATGCATTAGAGGTGATATTAAAGCTGAGAATATCATCTAAAAGTCCATAAGAGGTCGAATATCCTGCAAACACCAGCAAATATCCAGGGCCATGCACCATGGAGTGTCCCAACCGAGCCACGTGACTGACGGTGATATTAGGGCGTGGTAAATCGGCGAGTACTTTTTCCCAAAGACCTGTCCCTATTGTAAGGGTTTGACTGCAGTCAGGGCCGATGAAGCCACTGGTACAAACACAGTGGCCAAGCGTCTGCGAATTAAATTTAAGCATACGGTCAATAACCGTCATACTGGTGGTCGGTGGATAGAGCGGTTTTCATTTGAGTGTCGAAAGGTAATTGGTTTTGCGTTTACTACGCTACGTGATTGGCTTAAAAGATTCGCGCCACTTTTTTATCCAATCAGAAGGAAAACCAAAACCAATTGTGTCACGCTCGCATGCATTTTCCCGCGCTTTGCGTCAGCTACATGTAATTACTTCGACTTTTAATTGGTTCACTGTTTTGTCTGTGTCCTTTGTGATTGGCTAGAGTAATTACTTTGGTTTTGGTTTTACGATACTCAAATGAAAACCGCTCTAAGCCTATTGGGTCTTTGTAGCTGTGCAAGGCCTTTAGTTAGTAGGGAGGTCGCCAACAAAGACTAAGCGAAAATAAGTTGCGCGTGATCTGGGGAAAGGAGTGGCATTTCTCTCCCCAACCCAATGTATTTTACAATCTTGTCAAGGTCACAAGCAATTCAATCTTTTTAAAGGAAACACACACACAAGGTGAAACAAACGCTGGAAATGGTATGAACATAATTAAATACAAAACTATTTAGTTACTATGATACATTTATTTCGTTCTAAAGTTGAAACACAAATAATTGGACACTTACAAGATTACAATTCCCTTGCCCTTGCGACACACTGCAGTTCTTCGGACAAACCAGCTGGTTACAGTTGGCTCCTGTCCACCCCTCTAAACAAACACATCGCTCTCCATCTGATGTCACAACGCACTTCCGGTTACCCCCACAGAGGCCAGGACATTTCGTGACCTCAAACTTAGCGCTGAACTTCTGGGACAAAGCGCCTGTTCTTAAATTAGCTGTCATCACCACAACCATGTTCCCTAACAACGCTGTTACAGGCTTCAGTTTCGTTGCGTTCCAGCCACAGAAGGAACCAAGCCTACGAAATGACTGGAATGATTCTAACGGAGACGGGCCCAACGAAAATGGAGGTAAACCATCATACACATCGACATGATCGGTGAGACAGTTTATACGGATTTCTTTAAATGTGAGACTGATATGCCCCCTGTTACCCACCGGGGGCGGGGACGGGCCGTAAATGACACCATGACTGGCGTTACTCAGTGATGATATTACCCAGAGGCAACTGGCCTTACTCCTGACTGAGACTCCGCTCCCCTCTTCAGTTGAGATATAACCTTGAGTAATATTCGTAAGGATACTTCGAGTTTTGCATTCATGGAAACAGATTCCACCATTCCTAAGGGTAAAACGTTTATATAGATTTGAGCAAATACGTCAAACCAAAGAAATTTGGCTCACAAAAGGCTGAAAAAGTAAAAAGCAAATTTGAACTCCTATTTTCTAACCAAGTTACAGTGCGGACATTTTAACAGGGGCACTTAGAAGAAGATTGTCCAATCACAACATTTTCTGTAAACAAAAGATTCTCAAGTTTTTTTGCAAACGGGCCAATGAAATTCAAGGTTCAACTACGCAACTGTTCACAACTTCAAAACCGTTTGAGCTTATCTGACCTCCCAAGAAACAACCCTCAAGTTTAAGAATGTCATTGGTACGTTTGCCAAAAAAAAAAATGAAAATCTTTAAATTCAGAAAACGTTGTGATTGGACAATCTTCTTTCAAGTCCTCCGGTTTGAGTGTCTGCACTGTAACACCCACCTAATACAGGATAATAAACAGCATAATAGAAAAACTCCTCGGCAGGTTATTTAACAATTATTCCTCGCACCCGAATGGGCTCTGAGTCAATAGCCAGCCTCATGGGCTATTGACTCAGAGGCCATGAGGGCGAGAGGAATAATTGTTTTAGTAAAATCCAACTAGTTGGTAAAAAATATCGAAACATAACAACTTAAGCTAGTCAAAGCTAGACTTTAATCCTTTTTTGCCGCCAAAAATCCGGAGCTTTTCGCTACTAGTGGGTTATAACATATAGCCTAGTAGTAGACAACTGGTTTGATTTTACTAAAATTGAATAGTCATACATAGTTTCACCCATGGACCCTAAAGTAACAATCGCCTTTATGTACAGCATAATAAACAGTACCACAGGAAAGTACTGTTCAGTAGCTCTTGTTTCTAAAGTGGCAAATGGCTACAATCTATTAATTACTACACAAGTGAGAGGATAATGTCACAGAAACTGACTGATACATTCTACTTACTCAGGATTTCCCAAGAGGCCTGGCATGCACACGCTACAGTTGTGTCCCAAAGTGAAATCTGTACAGAAACACTTTCCTGTCTCCATATCACATACATTCTGCTTGGGATCGCCATGACCATTACAATGACATGATTTACACCCCAAAGAAGTTGTTGCATTACCATAAGAGCCGGGGATACAAAATTCACAGTGATCACCCTGAGTATTCTCTGCAATAAACCAAAAAAAAGCACATCAAACATGTAAATCTTTGCACACATCATTTTGTTGTTGATGCGGCTAAATATCATTTAGACAAAGTTAAACTCAAGCGAGTTGGCCAGCAGTCTTTGCCCACTCCAGTACGTGACCTACAGGACGGCCCTCGGGGAATTGCAGGGCTCCTTGTGTGCTCTTTTTCTAGTGTTGCGTTGCATTGTAGCTTTGCTTGCTGATCGTAGTGGATCAATTTTTTGCCTTCTTGCGCATCATTGCGGATTCTTGCTCCCTCTCCTCCCTCCCTGCCTGGTGGTTTTGTAAGTATTTTCTCAGGTAAGTATTCTCTTAGGTAAGTATCTCCGTTGAATTTATTCAGTGTGACAGTGCCGGTTAGTGGCCGCTTCTGGGTGGTTCTCGCTTCCAGGGTGACCCCCACTAACCTTTAAGGCAATTGCTCCCAAGCTCATCATTTAATTGTTGTTGTTTACATTTTACCCTGCGACCAGAGCCATCTTTTGTCTTCTTTGCAGAAGAGAAAAGAAGACTGAGCCTAAACCTCGTCAAGCCTTTGAGGCTGCAGCAACCCAAAATTCTGGACTAGTTAATCTTGTTTTCTCTCGTCACACTGGGTTTTGTGTGCGAGCATCCGTTTATCGATAAAACAATGTTCATAACAGAGCCTGCTGTACCAAGCGCACGGATATTAGGCCTGGGTTCAAGGCTGTATTCTAGCAACATGCCACGAAAGCTCAACAAAGATTTTACACGATGCTTCATTATGCCAAAATCCAGTAAGCGAAAGCAGGGCTTTCCTAGCAGGGTGTTTACATTTTTCCTCGTATAGGAGTTTACCCAAGGAAAGGCGAACCGTGCAAAAAGATTATGTCAAAAGTTGAAAAAGCTGGTTAACTTTGGGTAATTTTCAGCTCTTGGCCTGCAATATCAAAGGAAATAGCCCACCTTCCCCTACCCTAAGCTAACATTAACACTTGTCACTTAGGGCAAAATGTTGGCTTAGGGGAGGGGTAGGTGGGCAGTTTCTCAAAAACCTAAATTGATCCAATACGCCTTTGTGATCAACATCAATTCTCTCCAAATAATATCAGTAAATAATCAATAGAAAAGGTTAGGAGAATTAACAAAATGATCACCTAATTGAAAATGGTTTGATCTTTTATTAAATTCTGTCAGGGAAATGACTGTATGGAGGCTAGTCGGGAGAATCTGTATGTGGATATTGGAACTTCAAGGTACTGTACCTTGACACTTGTCACAAATGCCGATGCCCTGTGAACAGTCACTATGTCCGTTACAGCCGCAATCAGTGGAACAGTTTTCACCCAACCAGCCGAGATGACATTTGCACTTGTAGTCTACATCACAAAATCCATGTTCACCACAGTCGTGAAAGCAGCTGAATAATATAAAACACACAAGCTACCGGTAAGTTCAGTTTCAGTTTGAAAATTCCTACCTTAACCCATTCGCTCCTGGAGATTTTGCCGAAAAACGCGTTTTGAAGCTAGTCGAGTGGTTTTCTGGTCACTGTCGTGCTATAAAGAGCTAAAACTTACCACAAACTGGTTTACAGGTCGAACACTTTGAGGCCTTCTGATCCAGATGCAAAATATCAGCTTGCGAAGTTCGGGCATGCGCAGAAAGCAAAATTTTTAAAAGTGACACAGCAGTCTTGACTTTTACTTTTCGCTTTCTCTCCTCCCTTCTTTTTTCGCTTTTCTTGCCTCATTTTTTTTTCTCTTGCTGGGCATTTAGTAGGCTTGATTTTGGTGGGAAGAGTTTTTAGGAAAGCTTTTAGGATCTTAGGATTAGGTGAAAGGAAAGGTAGGTGGATAATGGAACAAGATTTTCATGGAGATTTTCAGGTCAATGTCACGTGGTTTTTTGCTTGTTTCTCCGGTGTCCTTGACTGAATTGTGCTCATTCTTGTATGGTTTGAAAGATCTCTTCACTCTGCACAAGTTAGCGAAGAAAGTTGTCCTTGACCGTTAAAACTGATGACGTCACAATGGGTAGAAAGGACCTGGATCCGCACGGGCGGTTACGGGCGGTTCAGGGGCGAATGGGTTAATAACTTACTATCAAACTCAGAAAACCGTGAACACCTGAAAATTTTCAGGAATGTTGATTGTGTACTGGCCAATCACAATAAAGTTCAGGATAGGCAAGCAAACCTCAAAACCACAAACTAATTACCGTTGCTGTTTGCGGTTTAGTTATCTCGTGCCTTAGTGGCTTATTTCTCGCAACACAATAACATTCCATAAATATTTCTGGTGTTCACGGTTTTGTGAGTTTCACAGAAAGAGACAACTTGAAGCTATCAAAATAATCTGCAGATCGGAAGCTGAGGTGGTCATAAAAAACTGAAACAAGAGTGATAGCATTAATATTTCCTAAGCCCACAATTTGGTCTAGGCAGAGCAAAGTGCTGATGACAATTTCTTACGTTTTATTGCAAGCTGTGGTACCATCTCCAGTGAAACCTCTGTTACAGATGCATTGAAAGGAACCATGCGAGTTGTTGCAAGTGGCATTTTCATGACATTGAGCAATGCCCAGTTTGCACTCATTTACATCTGGACACTCAGAATATGACCATATAGTGCTGAAATAAATATGATGGCTAAATAAATATAACTCTTCAAGCTACAATAACTACACCCCCCCAGGTGGGGAGGCTTATTTATCTCAAGCCCATTTGACGGAGGCTTAATAGAGACGGGGGGGCTTATTTGAGAGGAGGGGCTTTTTTTATTTAGAAAAGATGATGGTATTAGTTCTCCATAAAGAACTAGAATACAAAGTGGAAAAGCTCAAGTACAAGGAGGTTGAAGGTCATGCAGCCGAGGATCAGGATCAAATCCGAACTTCCAGTTGGTAAATACACCATCCCGGGACAGTCCACACGAAGTTTTACAGTCGTGAATAATACAGTCTATCATTTAATTAGTAAAGAATAACTAGGGGAGGGGAGGGGGGTCTTAATGAGAAGGGGGGCTTATTTGAGAGGGGATAGGACGGTCCATACCTTCCATTTGTTGGAAAAATATTTGGGCATTGTCCACTGTATGGGGCAACAAAGTCACCTGAAAAACATCTGAATAAAAAAAAAACACATTAATAAGAAATGAATGGATCAATCAATCGATCAATCAATCAAACTATGACAGAATATGGAGACATAGACCACTGGTTTTTTCAGCTTAAAGGCTTTCATATTTTTCTCCAGAAAATTTTCAAATTAAATACTACCCCTTTAGGATTACATATTTGTCTTCCAGGAAACAATTTGATAGATATGTAAACAATGACTCGCACACACGTTAAATACACCACTTAATGAGTTATGCTGTTACTTCAAAATAATATTAATTTACACTGAAATAAAGGTTAAAAAGGTTAAAGAATAAAGATGTTAAAGCTGATGATTAGCTAAAGAGTAGAAAGGGGACATAGATCTGTACGGGTTGTTACTGGCAGTTCAGGGGAGAATGGGTTAAATTAACTGAGTGCAAAGGTACTATCTTTGCCCTGCAAACAGTTCA